GGCAATGACTTCATCAACAATATAAACCCAAGCCCCACATCTGACAGAAAAGAATGTGACACAGAGGCAAAAGCTAGATTGTTTAGTCTTTGTTACTGCAAGTGTTAGGACTCAACTCACAGGCCGCCACTTATGATGTGTTGTCTTGCGGATAATTCTTCACACTGCACATCCGTTTGGCCCAAATGATGTTTTGAGTCATTGTTTCATTGTGCAAGTAGAAACAATTATGGGTTTTGTGGTTTTGTCAGTAGTATGCATCATTTCTTCATATATCATAAACCTCTTTCATGTTAGGTTGGGGAAAATGGGGAACCAATAAGATTTTTATTTTTTTTTTAAAGGAGGACAAGCCAAGTATCAATGGCTTCAGAGGTGACAGATGGACCAAGGTCAATTTTCCTACAAGCAGATGCTGATTTAGTTACTAGCTTTGAGGTCTTCCTATGAGTCCCTCCTTCAAGGGAAGTGTGAAGAATGATGACCAGGGGTTTTCAGTGGTGGTTCTCATTTGAGTGGAATGCTCGCCTCCCTGGTGCCTTCAGAGCCAGGTTAAAATGTACCTCCCCTTGCAGATTTTGATGGACTACAACAGGGGTAGGAAATTTTTCAGTTGAACGTGAGACGCCTTAAGCCTGCCTAGAAATAACACTCTTTGACTAGAGAAGTGATGGGGAATCTGTGATCTTCCAGATCTTGTTAGACTCAAACTCCCATCATTCTGGACCATCAGACATGCTGGCTGGAGCTGATGGGAGCTGAGAGTTCAACAATATTTTGAGGGCAATAGGTTAGCCACACCAGGGTTACTTATTGGTGAGGGGGATGCACTTTGCTTCAGGATAAGAACAGAAATCGTGCTCTGGTGGCGCGGTGGCAGCAGGAGGCCCAATTAGCTAAAGTGGTGCTTCAGGTTAAGAACAGTTTCAGGTTAAGTACGGACCTCCGGAATGAATTAACCTGAGGTACCACTGTACAGTGGTGCCTCGCAAGACGAAAAGAATCCGTTCTGGGAGTCTCTTCGTCTAGCGGTTTTTTCGTCTTGCGAAGCAAGCCCATTGATGGGATTAGCGGATTAGCGCTATTAGCGGCTTTAGCGGCTTTTAGCAGTTTATCAGCTTATCGGATAAGCAGATAAGCGGCTTAGCGACTTAGAAAAGAGGGGGAAAAGGGGAAAAAAAACCCAGGAACTCGCAAGACATTTTCGTCTTGCGAAGCAAGCCCATAGCAGATTCGTTTTGCGAGGCACCTCCAAAACGGAAAACTCTTCGTCTAGCGAGTTTTCCGTCTTGCGAGGCATTCGTCTTGCGGGGCACCACTGTAGTTAACAGTAAAGGAACCAAACCACTAGTTTATCACTCTTGGGCTTAGCTGGGACTTCATCACACTGAAACCAACTGAATCTTGCTTTCATTTGATTAGAGTCTGCATTCTTTTCTGCTATGGCTAATAGTCCAAGATATCTCTTACTATCTATTGCACTTGTTATCTTTTAGCTTCACAAGTTTTAGTTTACAAGTTTTTCTTCTTCTTTGGGCAATATCCAACTAAAATGTTCCACAAGCATAAGCACTTTGGAGTGCACACCAGAACTTCCCCTCTCACTTCTCAACACACACCCCCACCGGAATCCATCTGTTGTGGATTCCTCCCCACATCCCTCCAGAGCAAATTTAGGAAGTACTCAGGGAAAGGGGAATTTAAGCATGCTTACCTGCTCCTGCCAACCTAGCAGTTCGAAAGCATGTCAAAGTGCAAGTAGATAAATAGGTACCACTCTGGCGGGAAGGTAAATGGCGTTTCCGTGTGCTGTTCTGGTGAGCCAGAAGCGGCTTAGTCATGCTGGCCACATGACCCGGAAGCTGTATGTTGGCTCCCTCAGCCTTTAAAGCGAGATGAGCACTGCAACCGCAGTGTCGGCCATGACTGGACCTAATGGTCAGGGGTCCCTTTACCTTACACTCATAGATCCCTCTGTAATAATCTACTCACATAGGTGATCACTTCAAACATTTGACAATACGGGGCCTGTCTCTCAAAAGCTTATGCCACAATATTTTTTTTCCACTTAAAAGTGTCACAATAAGTGTTGCCACACCCCTGCCCACTGCTACTAGCAACCCTGACTTTTAATTTACATCCAGCTGTAGCAAGGGGCATACTAAAGGTGTTCTTTCCCTCAGATACAAGACTGAAGATGCAAATGATCCCATACAAGCCCATGCTCCACCACACCTTTGTGTTACAATGTGTTACAATGGCATCTCTCAGAGGTTAGGAATCAAAATGTGGGACATGAACTTCAAATTCTCAAATGCCGCATTTTCAAAAACTACAAGTTTCAAAAACAGCTTCTTTTCATACAGGTTTACATAACACAACAGTAAACTTACTATATAACAGTGTGCCAGATTCAAACAGATCTTCCAGTTTTTGCTTTTGATTTAGGAAGATATCAGTGTGTATATATATATATATATATATATATATATATGCACTCTTAATTAGCTTCCAGAAATCCAGCTTGTGTTTTAACCATCTACCAAATTTGGTTAAGCTCTTCCTATCTTACATTTCTGATATATAAAATCATGGGTACATAAAATTATTGCGTAATATTTATATCAAGAAACAGAGGTTAAACCGTTTCCAGTATTCAGGCACTGCTGAGCCAAAGTCATTAAAATGTACTGGCGGTAAGTTTATGATCATACTTGCATCTAATTTAGGACTGGGGAATAAGCTGTGATTAACAGCGCTTCTTCTTGACTTCAAGCCACATCTCTCTCTCTCTCTCTCTCTCTCTCTCTCTGTAAAAATAAATAAATAAATGGATGATGCTACAAGCCTATACTCTGGCTGGAAAGAACTCCTAAAAGTTATGCTCAGATATTCACATAAACAGCTAAGTGCACAGTGTATACTGCTGAGATATTGGGCCATCTAATGGCTCCTTATCACACATAGAAGTTTCATACAAAGCTGATGTGCCGGGCTGATTCAATATTTCACTCTTGGAGGTGAATACTTACTAAATGCAGCAGAAAAAGTATTCCAAGTTCATGAAACATCGTTCCAATTAGCAGACAGGGACCATACTCCAATTTAATTGTACACATTTAATAGGCCATAACAGTAAGCAGCATTTGAAAAGGTATTTTTTTATTTTTTATTTTTAAAAAATACATTGCAGTCAGGGGTCGGTGGGCTGCCACAGTCAGCTTCCCTAACACTGGAGAGTCAGGATGCTCAATCTAAATGAAGCTTAAGAGAATTCTCTACCTTAAAGGAATATAAAGAGAGTCTCACCGAACCAGAGTAAAGGCCCATTTAGTCTAAAATTCTGTTCCACAGAAGCCAGCCAGATGCCTCAAGGAAGCGCACAAGCAGAATATGACTGTCTCTCATCAGTATCAGAGGTGTGCTGACTCTGATACTAGAGCTATTAATCTTCAGATCAGGATTAAAGAGGACATGTGGCGCTGTGGTCTAAACCACTGAGCCTCTTGGGCTTGCCGACTGGAAGGTCGGTGGTTCGAATCCCCATGACGGAGTGAGCTCCCGTTGCTCTGTCCCAACTCCTGCCAACTTAGCAGTTTGAAAGCATGCCAGTGCAAGTAGATAAACAGGTACCGCTGTGGTGGGAAGGTAAATGGCGCTTTCATGGGCTCTGGTGTTGTCACTGTGTTCTGTTGCACTGGAAGCGGTGTAGTCATGCTGGCCACAAGACCCGGAAAGCTGTCTGTGGACAAACGCCAGCTCCCTCAGCCTGAAAGTCAGATGAGTGCTACATCCCAGTCGCTTTTGATTGGACTTAACCATCCAGGGGTCCTTTACCTTTACCTTACCTAGGAAAATACTCTGTACTGCTAACACCAACTTAATGAATCAATAAACACATTACTTTTGTAATTTTTGTAACATTTGTACTACTTATCAGTTAGAATGAAACACTGTATGACTCTATCCATGTTTTTGACACTGCAAGAAGATGCATGAGAAAGCTAAGAGAAAATTAAAAAAATGTGTTTTCAAGCTTTAAAATTAAAATCAGAGATCAAGTATATAATAGGTAATTTCTCAGTGACAATGTACTATTTCTGTTAAATTCTAATCCCCTGCACAAAATACGAACTGCATACCAATAATTTATATCTGAAGACTTCTTACCTATCTCTTAGGAAGGTTGTTATCCTTTTTTCAAGTGTCTATTTCAAGCTCTCAGTGCTTCTCAAATTAAGCTGCAATGTGATGCAAGCGAACTGTTTATATTTAAAGAACCACCTCCTCATATTTTCAACAGTGCCAGGAATAAGATAAATGTTATGGCTAGAATTCAAAAAACTGTTCAACTACTTTCATGGCCCCAAAGAGGTTTTGGACTTGCTTTTGAGCAGCATTTCTCTGCCTTCCCAGATTCAAGGTGATGTTAAGGGGAATTTCAAAACAGTTGTGATATGAAAGGGACCCAGGTGTACAAGGAAATGAATTTAGAAAAAGTACATATATCACTGGGTATATGTACAAGTCCTTGCATGAATCTCTGTGGTATTCAACTCAGTTTTACTCAGTGTTGAAATACTGAAATTAATGTACCTAATTTAATCATGTTCACTAATTTCAGTTGGCCTACTCTAAGTAAAACTTAACTGAATACCACCCTAAGCCGTTCTTGGAATTTCAGGCATCTGAGAAACAGTAGCCAGAAGCAAAGCCTCGTTTAAAAAAACTCCAAACACATTGCTGATGTAAAGCAACATACACTCTCCTCTCTTTATCAAAAGATCCCGTATCAAAATTATTCAAGCTTCACGTCACCATATGGGAAAGTCACAATAGCTATGAACCATAAGCCATATATTTAATTTACATTTGTTACTTTTAAAACTATGTATTCTCATTGAAGACTTAATATGGTCATCTTTGAAATGCTGGTGTTTTAGCTAAGTAGCAGTTAATTTTTTAAAAAGAAGAAGAGTGCAGACCAAAACAAGAATTTTATAACGTTTGTTTTTATATAAAAAGAATCTTTACAATTTGACATGACATTTTCACATTTGTTAAATAAAGTAGCCCACTTGGTGACCCTGTTAGAAATCTGTTCAGTTATATGAAGTTGTTTTCCTGAGCTAAATGATACCGATAAAGTATATGCATTAATTATAGCAGCAGAAAAGGGGGGAAAGTTTTACATTTTAACATGTCCAACAAAACAAAAACCACATTCTATCAAGGCATAAATGCTCTTATTGGGAATGTGTGCTCAGCCTCTTTCTTTCTTTCTTTCTTTCTTTCTTTCTTTCTTTCTTTCTTTCTTTCTGTTACATTCAGCCACCATCAGACAACAATGATAATGCATGGAAATGTTAGCTAGAAGAGTTCAATTCCATCAGAAGAGATCAGTTCCCTATCATCTGTTGCTGTCGTGATCCAATCAAATATCAAAAGACAATTTTATTACTATATAAATTTTACTGAATAGAACCATCACAGAATTATAAGGAGTCATTTTATCCAACATACATCTGGGATTTTAAAATCCACTGTAGCCATAGATTGAAGATTGAGATATTCTGAAACTATTTTCAATTTTTAATTAAATGTCACAATTAAGCCCACACTCTGATTCTACTGGGACTTAAGCATGAGGAACTCTGACCTACTTTGCAGCCAATTGTTTAGAAGACTTTGAACAGAAAGTCTAGCAAACCAACGGTGCTCTAGTCTCTCACTGTGATAAAACAAGTAAGCTGTTTTACAAGGTCAGAGGAAAGTTCCTTTTCCAACTCCTTAAATAAATCATGTCAAATACATAGCCAGAGTCATCAGTTCCTCCTGGAAGGAAGTAAAACCTATACCTTCCTCAGTTACTTCAGGCTTTGAATGTATCCTTATTGAGATATGAGATAAATCTTAGATAAGCAATGAAATAAAATATTTAAATCTGATATAAGCTAATATACAAAACTAGGCTCCAAAACATGTTGGAATTGAGAAGAATACAAAACCTCTAGAAGTTACAGTAATACATAAATAAAAATAAACTATAGTTATAAACCAAGTTATTCCCCATAGGGAGTTTAAAATCCCAAACTGTTACCAATTATAGAGGTACATATTACTGTAATGTAAGCTTCTTAAAAGAAGCAAAACATACTTGCCTTCTTGATTCTATTAGCTAACACCAAATTCTATTAATTTATTCTGGCCAGGAAGGCAACTGTTAGGCTAACTCTCTCTAATTAGGTGTGCGATAAACCCAGAAACTGAGTATAAATGAACAGAGAATCATTTGCACTTTTAATAAGAAACAAACAAACAAACAAACAAACAATGTATGTCAAATTAATATTGCTTCTGTTACACTTATTTCCTGTGCAACACTGGCCAAAATTCAAAGCGTACTGAAGATCGTGAAAATATTACCACTGACTTGAATGGACTTTTGATAAAATCTTCTAGCAGAGTTTCAGCTGCTCGATAGCTAGCTCTTATGAGAGCAGCTGGCCTCTCTGTTCCCACTGAGCAATTGTCGCGGATCAGCATTCTCAGTATGACACCTGAGCAAATTAAATGAGCATGATATAAAGAGCTTAAGAAAGCCTCTCTGAAACATTAGCTTTGTTCTGTGCAAACTGTGCTACCACTCTTTTGACTCTGCATTCCTTCCTTCCTTCCTTTTCTCTCTCTCTCTGGAATTATTATTTTCTCCCTTCCACAAATGTCAGAAAAGCAGCGATACAGGAAGTCACTTTTCACCACAGACCCATTTCAGTCCCGAGACTGATAGAAGAGGATATAACCAGACTCAGAGTTTTTTGAGATGTCCGATGTCAACCCGTAGAATTCTTCAATCGCTTGTGCATCTATTTTCTGAAACGAAATGCGGAGGATATAATTTCTGTAAAAAGAAAACCCACTCCAATTTATCTAGCATGGCTACAGCAATTCTAATTGGGGTTGGGAGAGGTCAGAGTGCTGGAGCCACTGCCATATCTCAAGGACAATTAAGGGTCTGGGGTCTTGTCAATTCAAAACCTCCAGTGTCCCACCCCAAGACCACCCCATTTCCGGGTTTTCAACTGGCTACTGCCAATGGCAGAACTACTGGTGAGAGCTTCACAACAGTTTGTGAACAGCTTGGGCCTCCACCACAGCAGAACCTCATCAGCAATGTTTCTCTTTGCTGGTGGGAGTGGGAGGAGACAGGACTGCATGTTAGAATTCCTGATTCATGATTGCAGTCATGGGATTTTTGTCTGTCACATGACGGTGTATGTTTTGACTCCACCGAGTGGGAAGTGATGGAGACAGGATGTTTGTGTTACTGTGTTCCGTGAAGTGGGACTATTGTCCTTTGTTCTTCTGCTCTTTGCTGTCTAATGCTAGAGAGAGAGGGAGCCATGTTGCAGTGCTCCGTGTGTGTTTATATGTAAATAAAGTAGATCAGCCAAAATGCTGAGTTGCTGAGGTCTGTCACGCATGATGCGCAGACTCTGCGGATCTCTAAGTGTGCCAGTGTCAGTTGGCATTGGTCGCTGTGATGTTCGGGCTGAAGAAAGCAATTGAAGCTCCTGAACAATCAACCAGGAGGGAAGGAACATGCCAGTCGGGCATGTGTCTCTGCCAGGGTCCTACTCGAGTGTAGGCTGAACTCCTGACAGTTCCCTTCCTCCAACCAACAACAACAGTGGGTGGGGTGGCAAGATTACAGCATAAACTTATGCTTCATAACAAAGGAAAAAAGATAGAAGTTACGGGTAATAGCAAACATTTTGGGAACACATTTCTGCTAATGCAACAGGATTTCCCCTTCCGCTCTCCTGCAACGGCCTACATACCCCTCAACCCTCTTGAGCAGATTTGGGGTGTGTGCAGAGGGCTGCCAGGGGCAGGGAATACATTCCATAAACTGCATTCATACCTCTGGCTAACAAACACCATTGGCTATCATTTTAAGATTACAGTGGGCTAGAAGGAGACACACTGAAAAAGACACTGCAAAAAAAATAATATGCAAAGGCATACTCTCTTTACTAGAAATGTTACCATGTTCTACTAACATTGGTAACAGGTTAACAGTTTCTTTGCAAAATCTATTGTCTTGGAGATAATCTAAAAGTAAGTAGTAGACACAGAATAACTACTCTAACGTTTAGAATCTAGAATTACAGACATTCTTACCTCTACAATGTCATCATCAAAGAGTAACCAAAAATCATGACTCTTCACTATTGCAATATAGTGTCCTCTGTTAGGTCCACTGTGAAGAAGAAAGCAATTCACATTGTGGTCATCATCAACTTTAACATCATTTTTTCCTCAGAAGAAAATGTTGAAGAATTCTGACAACTACTTCCGCTTATTTTATCTTTTAAACACAACATTTATATGAAAACAAGCTTCAAATATTAATTTTTCATAAAGAACAAGAACCAAAGAAGCAGCTAAAACTAAAGAACAAGACGTGCCCCCCCTTTTTTTGCTAATTTAATCGCTGTATAAAAACAACAACACTCAACTATGACACTTGAAGGAAACAACAACGCTGGCACATAACTCTACATAAATTAATAGAGTCCATCAAAGGCCTATTGCTTTGATGATTTTAAAGAATGATACAATGCTATTTCACAGTAAATCAGTAGCAGTAATGTGTCACATTGTATTTTCTTACCTTCCACAGTGGACTACCACAGCCACTAGATCATACATTCTGTCGGGATTAGTGGCATCTCCTGATGTATTAAACAGCCGAAGCTCTAAGGGAAACACTACCCTGTAGGAGAGTTTTGTATATCGATGTAGCTGATCCATGTATTTAAATCTCTTCAGATGGAGAGCTAGGATCATAGGCAGCTTTTTCACTTTCATCCTGAAACAAAGTATTTATTTTAGTGTGGTCATAAATGTCCAAGATTCACCTCATTTTAAAACCTACTTTTTTCTGGTGGTGGGCAGTAGCCAATGAAGTCATATCTCAAAGTAGACTTATTAAAATCAGTCGACTTAAGTATACAAATATGTTAAACAGCAATACATTCACACAGCAATTACCACTTGCTAGCTGTTGAGAATTGTGTGCCGCCGAAAGCCGATAACAATGTTTGGAAGGTGCCATAGCAATTTTCTGGGGAAGGGAACATGGTTGAAACCAAGCAAGTCACAAACAATTATATACAGAAGACTGAAAGCAGTTTGAGACCTTGGAACAGAGCTTCTGAAGTCGGAACTAAAAATATTTGTGTGCCAACACTGAGCCAAAAGGGGTGAGCATTTTGTGAGCAGATTCTACTCCTGTAAAACATTCCACTCCTTTGGGGCAATTGTTCACATCTTTGCAAAATAATGTAGACTGTTTGCAAGTGGGGGGTGTGTGTGTGCATATTAATGGAAATGGAAAGACATTCCTGATGCTGAGCCAACACTCCCTCCTATACAATCTAGTCCTCTATACAGTACCTGACTATCTGGGGGCAGCCCATTTAAAAAGCAATGCAGTGCAAATGAATAAAATGCTTATGGACATCATCAATCCACACGGCATTATTTTCAGGGGGATGTGCATTTTGACAATGGCATCAACATGCTCATTCTGCAATTCCTTGTTGGTATGCAAAAATTAAGAAAGTTCAAAAATGTTCACTAAGGAGCAGCATGTCAGAGCGTTTTGCACCCCTTAATGAACCACTTTTCACACTGAAAATCAGGCATCATTAAACTTCAGTAGTACATCACTGCTTGCAAATGCATGCTTTACTTTCCTGAAGCACAGCCATGCACTTAAAAGCAAACAAGATGAAAACAGCAATGGTTTGAACAATGAAGGTTGATGGACAGGTAATGTGAATTATTACATACAAATTTACTTTAAAATTAGTCTAAAACATGGAATACCACACTTTATAGACATTAGATTAAAAACTGAACTGAATAAATATACAAGGCTGAAATTCCAACCCTACTTACCTTGGAATAGCCCCCACTAAATTCAATAGGACATTGTTCTGAGCAGACATGATTAGGACTGTGTTGTAAGTATACCAACACCAATATTTTATTTAAACTTTTAGGAACCATAGATATTATTAACAGTTGTTGGATCCTACTGGTAAACAGTGATGGATAGAGCAAAGGCCTCACTGCTTCATTTTATCTAGTGAACACATCCCTTGTAGAAAAATTGATATAATGTAAAAAGTAATAACATTTCTAGATTTGGAACTCAGTTTTAACCCTAGCCTTCAAAGTGAGATCTGCTTTTACTGCTTTAAAAAACCATATAGTCTTATCCCTCTGCTTTCCTCCCTTCTGATTCTCTTGCTTTATCTCCTCTTTTTCTTTTTCTTAAAAGTGTAATAAAACTAGCAATGGTGCTATTGGTGTGACCCACCATAAGGTGGGAAAACCAGTTGCAGACCCAAGTAGCTAGAAATCTATCACTTCCATGGTGTAGAACTACAGCTACCGCAGACAAAAAATGCTGAGTGAACATATTCAAGGACTGATAGTTTCCTTACCCATAGAATCATAGAGCTGGAAGAGACTTTGGAGGCCATTGAGTTTAAATCCCCTACTCAGTACAGGCTCTGTAGTGCAGGATGCAACTGTGACATACCTGACAAGTGGTTGCCCAGCATCTGTTAGAATACCTCCAACAAAGGAGAGCCCCTGTTTTCCAAGGCAAGTCTGTTCTGTTGTATAATAGCTCTTGCCACTAGGAAGCTTCTTTGAATGCTTAGCCAAAATCCCTTTCCCTGCAGTTTCCACCCAGTGGTTCTAGTTCTGCCCTCTGGAGCAACAAAGATGTCTACTTGTCTGCATGACAACCCTTCAGATAGACCTCCTTTTATCAAAACTAAAAAGACTCAACTCTTACAGAAGCATCAAGTGAAATTCCACAAAAGTACCGATTAATTTAATTAATGACTTAAGCATAGACGAGAATAGTTTTATGAAATTTTAATCATCACTCGGCTAAACCGTAGCTTAAGTCATACGTCACCATGAAGATTCAAAACTCCAGGGTAAATAATGGAAACATATATAGAATTGAAAATGTTACATAGGTAAATGAGCCACATATACAATTTTATAAACAGAACAATTCATGTCAAAATGTTTACAATAGCTTATGTTCTCCTATACTTTAATTTTTACAAGGATATAAAAATGGATCCTTTTCAGCTGGCTGGGCTCAGATTACATATAACAAAAAGCTAGAGATGGAGAACCTGTCGCCCACAGCCTACTTTCATGCAGCCTCCTCCTTTGGCAGCCTGCTCTGAGGATGAGAAAAAGCCCTTCCCCTTTTGGCTCTGGCTTCTCTCATTGCCAGCATGCAGCCCTTGAAGGGCGGGGAAAGGGTTTCTCACTCCTGAAATAAGGAGGAGGGGGGAAGAGTGCAAAAAACGAAAGCCTGATGTGGGCCATTCCCGTCATATGCTAAAGCTTATCATGACGTCCAACAATTCCCATTTCTCACACAGAATCTTTGTTTAAAAAGCTGGTTAAAGATAAGATTTTTAATCTTCTTAAAATATACAGTGCTCACCATCTCCAACGATGGATCATATCCTGATAACATCTCACATTGCTTTGTCCAGCCACTCAAGGTTGGCTGCTCCAAATAGTATTTGTCTGAATACTGGTACCATGGTAACATCTGGAGCTTGAGCCAGTGTAAGTGTATAAAATTTGCAGATGAAATACAAAAGGGAAGGGGGTAGGTGGGAAGACAGCGAAGACAATTAGGATTAGCTTTTTAGATCATATTGAAATATTAGGGGCTGAAAACGTGAGAGGCAGAAATCACGCAGTTAGGAAATTAATCCCACTGACCCTCAAGTATCTTGGCTGCTACAGAACATTTATTGGTGTTATAACCAAATTAAACTTTCAAAACACAACGTAAGGAGAAATATTTGGATAGCTTGCTAACAACTGTGAAACCTACAATATATGCTTATGGTACCTTTTGTGTGCTTCCTGTTTACTGCGACACTCTTCACAGTAATATTTATATTCACTGCACAGGGTTTCTGTATTGCTGAATCCCCTAAAATAGAAGAACAGGCATTAACGTGAAAGACAGACCAACTTTCAACATCTTGCTTAAATGTACTAAATTTAAGCTGTCAGCGATTGACATGCCAATCCCAAAGGACAAGAAAGCCCTAGCAGGTATAATGACATCTAGTAGTTCAAGTTTGGTTAATAGAGAGCGTGAAGAGCTCTACGAAAGGGAAAGGCTTGAGATTCCTAGTAGCAGTCTAAGTCGGTGCAATAAAAGATACATTTTTACCAACTTTCTCTCTTGTTAACTTGCATAGTATGGATGAATACAGAAACGTGGGAATGGCAGGCCAGGAAATTGTGTGACTCCCTTCCCTACAGAGGTGCATCTAGCATATTTGCCATATAGCTTTCGATATATGCTGAAGATGCACCTCTTTAGCCTGGCCTGTGACAGTCAAAGTATATTGTTTTGTGAGACCCACCTCTTTTGCTGAATTTATACTGCTCTGGCTGGAATGGTATTACTTATTTTTATAATTGTAACCATTTCAGCTGATTTTATATGGGCATATTATATTCTTGTAACCTCCCTGGAACTTTATGGTGAAGGGTGGGTAAGAAATCAAACAAACAAACAGTCCAAAATTTGAATATCTTCCATACCTTAAACAGTGAGTGATAGACGTGTTTTGCTCCACATCAACAGAAAGGTCTAAAAAATCTTCATCTTTACTGCTTATCTGCAATTTGGAGGGGGGGTGCAAAATAAATATTATTTCCCTGCACAAAGCACATTTTGAAATTAGGTCTCAAAGTGACCTATAAATCAAATGGTGATAAAAAGCTAATAGGGGTTTTTCAAGATGAATTACCATTTAACAGGCCATACAAGCACATTAGTAAGATGGGTTTACCATTTTCTCCTATTTACCAGTATGCAGACCAGAAAAAAATGCATTTTTTCACGTTCATTTTTTTGTTTGCTTTTTGTTTTTCTTACAGCAGATACAGAAGCTTTATGAAAGATAGAATAGAATACACTGACAGATGCCTAAGGCAACACTTGTCAGAACTTGGTTTGGAAACCTGCTGAACTCTGTATGCTCTCTAGTGAGCAAGATAAAAGCAAATGAGTTGATGAATTGGGAATATAATTTGTCTCTTATGAATATAGTCTTAACAGTATAGATATTAGTTTCTGTAATACCCCATGTGTAAATACTGACAAAAGAGCAAGTGATACAAATGGAACTGGAATCCTGATGCCTTGGCTCTGACTGGGACAACATCTGCAGATAAATTTACATAGTATTAATTGTTCTTGGTACAATAAGCATATGAATATCGGACTGCAAATTCACAGCTGCTTTCCTTTTCTGACCCTTGTTACTGAAAAGTGAATTCCATCAGTCTTTGCATTCCCAATACCAGACCTGAATCAAAGTCATGCTGTATCTACCGTATTTTTCGTCCCATAGGACGCTCCGTCCCATAGGACGCACCTACTTTTTGGGGGGGGAAATAAAGGGGAAAAAATTTCCTTTATTTCCCCCCCAAAACCAGGTTGGGGAACAGTGGGATGGCGGCGCTGCGCCTCCCCGCTGTCCCCCGAGCTTGTGAGGCTGGCCGATGTCTGCCCGGCGCGAGGGGCGCTCTGCTTCAGGGCGCCCCGCGCGTCGGACGGCAGGCTGCTATCCACAGCGTGGGGAGCCCTGCAGGAACTCCCGCAGGGCTCCCCACGCTGCGGATGTCTGCCCGGCGCGAGGGGCGCTCTGCTTCAGGGTGCCCCACGCGCCGGGCGGCAGGCTGCAGACACCTGCGCGAAGCACGGGGCGTCCTCCGGAGGGCGCCCCATGCTCCGCGCTGACGGCTGCCGCCCACCGCCCGCAAGCCGTGCGCGCTCGGGGAGTTCCCCGGGCGCGCAAGGCTTGCAGACACCTACGCGAAGCACGGGGCGTCCTCTGGAGGGCGTCCCGTGCTCCGCGCCGCAGGGTGCCACCCGCAAGCCTTGCACTCCCGAAGCAGATCCCCCGGGTGCGCAAGGCTTGCCGACACCTGCGCGAAGCACGGGGCGTCCTCCGGAGGGCGCCCCATGCTCCGCGCTGCAGGCTGCTGCCTGTAAGCCTTGCGCGCCCGGGGGAACTCCCCCCAGGTGCGCAAGGCTTGCGGATAGCTTCCTGGAGCCTGGAGAGCGAGAGGTGTCGGTGCGCAACGACGCCTCTCGCTCTCCAGGCTTCAGCGAAAGCCTGCATTCGCCCCATAGGACGCGCACACATTTCCCCTTCATTTTTGGAGGGGAAAAAGTGCGTCCTATAGGGCGAAAAGTACGGTAAATCTATTGCTGCTGCTACTTCTTTTTTAAGGACAAAAACTGTGCTAGATGTGTTTTTTTTAATCGTACAACAAAATTAAGAGTACTAAATTCTCTTGAAGTTAAGAAGCACTGGGTAAAACCTGCTATGTGGCATCCTACCCAGGGGGATACTATGTAATAGCAATTTTGAAAATGGGTAGGCCAGGAGAGGTTAGGGGACAGAATGCCAACAGTGGGGGGGTCAATATCAGAGCACAATGGATATAAAAGCAGACACATACCAGCTAACTCTTGGATAATTCATTCACTAATGATGCACACCTCTAGTGAAAAATATGCTTACACATTGTCTGTATTAAAAGCTACATAAGATTCTCTTTGAAGTTCCATATTCAATTGTGCTTTCACGCAAGACATGCATAACAGCACTAGAATTTTTTTATATTAGAAAGTCAGGACCCTCAAAAAATGCTGCAGTGCTCTGAATACTGCAATGAAAGGATAAAAGAAACATTGAGGTTGGAGTCCTGTGTACAGAAAACTCCTTTTAAAATAATGGTAACCAATTTAAAAAGAAAGTGCTATGCATTCTCACTTTTAGATTAGGCCTTTTATTGTCCACATTTTGACATATACCCCTGAACTTCAAATTACATAAGTTGTCTATCCTATCACTTATGATAAGGGGCTGAGTTGCAGGTAAATAGCTATTTTGACTACCGGTTGCCCGCATGAGGAATGACAGTTCTTTAATTTCAAGGAACAAAAACTCTGAGAACTCTAGCAAAACTTGAGTGTTAACATGAAATGCAAGATTTCTTTCCCCATCTCCTTGAAGCAACTTATTAACACATATGGCAGGAAGACACTTGTTGTAAATGTTTTTCTGTCCTGATCTTTGGTACATAGAAATCCTACATATTTTCCATGCAATTCTTTTGTAAAAATTGGAGGCACTCATTCTTGTTTGCAGAATTAGAGAGAAATTCTAGGACTACTCCATCATGAAAGGAAACATGTGAGCAAGTGTTAATTTTAATAGCTGCTATTAAATGGTTAACTTTCATCAAGCTAGACTATGAAATAAGCAGCTTCATTTTTCTCTGTGCGCAAATCCTCACACAACTGAAATCTAACACCAGTAAACCAGTTTCCTGGTTTGGATAATGTGGGAAACTCTAATTAGAGGTTCCACACTTTGTTTGCTCACACTGTGAAAGAAGGAGTGAAAGGGCTGTGTGCGGAACGGAGGCAAAAGCCTCATTCATATTACTGCTTAATAAGCTGAGATATGATTATCTAAATGCAGTCAAAAGAGTTGTGATACACTACCGAAACAACTACAATTGATCTTAGCCAAAAGGCTGAGAAGCGAGAATGCTCCTAACCCTTCTTTTAGATTATTTTAGCCTCGTTTAGATTCTTATAGGCTTTTATATATACCTTCTGTTTTAATAATTTTAGCTTTCCAAAACGTTTTACAGATTTTAAATGATTGTTCCCCACCCTACTTATGCTGGTCTGTGACCATAATAAAGATTTGATTGATTGATTGATTGATATAGAAACAAGGATACAAAAAACACATTTGCACAATAAATGAAATCAAAGTAATCTATAGGAAATACCTACCGTTTCACAAGTAAGACATCTGGTTTCATTTGTTAACGTTCCCTGAAAAATTTCATGAACCCACGTTGGGTCTGGTGGACTGTTGTTATTTTCACTGTCAATGCTGCCATTTGGTAAACGACCGTTTTGCTTCTCTTGTTTACTCTCCTCTTGCAAAATATCGGCAACTGTATTTAGCAGATAGTTCAAGAACTCATGCGCATCTTGCTGCATATAGTTGTCAAAAAGCTCTGCAAAACAAATTAGCTAGGATATAAGACGGTTGAACAAAAAGCAAGTAAGTTATATCTATAGACAGACCACCTTCCAATATTATGCAAAAGAGTTTTGCAATAAACAAACTCCACTCTCCACTAGTACACATACTGGCCATCATTTTGAGGATTTTAATAGTTTAAAAATACTGTTTAAGAAACAATACTGCACTTAGGATATATGTTATGGCTGTTCCAGCATATTCTAATAAAAAGAGGCAAAGTAAGTGTAAATGATATGGCCATCAAATTTTAAATTTTACTGGAATTTTGCTGTGCATCTTAGTGATATTATGTGATTGTAAAGCACCTCAATACAGGGTGACATTTAAACCTTTAAAATAAAATATTTATTGCAAGTGTGGCAAAATACAGGGTTATGCCCCCATTTAATAGGGATAATAGGGATAATATAGTACTTTAACTATCACCAGGGTGGGGTGGGGAACCATAAGTTCAGTTTCTGAGTGTCAGTCCAAATTAGAAGAACAAGAATGAACAACAGAGAGACAACACCCTTTTTCTGACTGATTAAAACTGATAAAGGTAAACATGTCATAACAGCAAAATAAAGCATTACCATTCTCTTTCCGAAGTCTTGTTATGAACTTTTTTGGAGGTATTACTCCAACTTTTTTCTTCTGGGTGGCTATGCTGTGGAAAAGATCAGCTAAGCAAGTAAGAAGACTTTCCTTTTTTCTGGGCTGACTTTTGTATGCCAAGACTTTCTCCCGAAATGGACGACAAAAATAAAGTGCCTGAAGAACTGAATTGCAGTAGCATGTATTTCCAAACTAGAACACAAAGAAATGATCTATTAGTTCTCCCTGAAAAGGAAGACTGTTTACAAAGAGAGTGGTGTGAAACAAAAGTGTATCTTAGCAAAAGTGTCTCTTACTGATTTTTGGAGACTGAAGTATAACTTATCCATTAACTAGTGGCATATTTAACAGTCAGCAAAGTATGCACCTTTTACTGCCATCTGGCTTCTCTGTTGTACACATTTTATTTTTTGAAATATCTGACAACCAATGAATTTTCTTTCTACAATGGAAATCTATGCAGCATTAGTAAATGTTATTGTTTTGAAAATTCACCAGAAAAACTCTGGGTAATATCTGATGTCAAATAATAGTCTAACTGAGCAATGGGGCTGCCTTTTCTCTGCCTCAGATCTGTTTTGGAGGGTCCCCCAAATTTCCAGAGAAAACGTGAGGGTCATGAGGGACACTACAGGAGGTGGAGAGGAAGGGAGAGCCCAATTCCACTTATAGAAACTGTTCCACTCCCGGGAAGTTACATTTGGGTATAACTCTCTGTGTGTATTCTCCATTTTATAAAATGTATGCACTGTTAATGCTGTAAAATTTAAAGTTCACAGTACAAGTTCCTTGTCAAGAGGCTGATAGCTCTGTTTAGTAATGTTACATGACAGCATGAGCCATAGGCTCATGTACTTCCTCTTCCCCCTCTTCAGAGCAAGTTCCCTCTTCTTCCTTGTCAGGCTTACCTATGGTTCTATCATTACAACTACACCAATGTTTCACTTCAAATTTTGGCTTAGCTGGGAGTTCTATTAGGGTCAAACAAGGTTAGAGTTGGTGCAGAAGTAACCATGAATCACTGTTAAGGTCACTAAGATAAGGGAATTATTGCTAGAAAGAGAAAAGAGAAATGTGTGAGGGCCCGCAGCGTTATATGCGCCAAGATCACCGCAGAAACATGGGGTTGTGTTTTTTTTAATGGGGCGGGGAACAGAGAACCCATATATCACTATTTTAAGTTTTGAAAGCCATACAGTCTACCAGCTGTTTGAGGCATCTTTTAAACAGGTCCAACTCCCAGTCAATTAAACAACTGCAATGAATATTATATGATTGTCCTTTTGATCTAATGCATCAACTACAAACATAAGAATACAAGGTTTCAGTTCAATTAAGATAGGAGTTTTGCTTGTTGGCTGCTTTTAATTTTTAGTTTAAAGATATCCTAATGCCATTGTTTCCAGCTTCAGCAAATCCTCTTAACTTTAACTCCAATGTACCGTGAACATGCACCATGGACACCCAGCACACTGCATCTAGTTCTCTGCATATTCTGAGTGGACACTCAGGCTGGCACATATGGCAGGCATTGGCTAGCGTCACAACTGGCTCTCATGAACAATGAGAGACCTAGGATATACCTCTCCTGAGGCTGTATGTACATTGCAAAAAAGAAAACTACCAGAGATGGGCAAGCTGTCTTTCAGGGACTCTTCTTCACTTTCACTCACCTTCTCATTGCGTAACCCCTACCAGGCTTCCTAGGAATCCCAGGATTCTCCAGAACAGTTTAAAACACTGCTCTTGCACTTAGTTTAGAGTCTGAACTTAAGTCTGAATAAAGATTGAATATATTTTTCCACTCAAAATAAAAAACACGTTTAATCAAGTACTAGAGAGCTTTTATAATTTCTTTATGCCCAGAATTTGTGTAGTCCTAAGGCACAGGCAAGCAACTTCTTTCATATACATTCACTTTCTTTCAAAACAAGTAATATCTGCAACTTACATTTACTAAACCAAAATAATGCTCATTGACAGGAAACTGTTCCGGACCAATTTCTTTCTCCAAGGCCGAGGCATTAGCGCCCTAGAGGGAGGGGGAAAAACACACCAGTAATTACCATGACCTGTTCTATGGCAAAGTTTACCCATGTAGGCAAATTAGGCAAAGAGTTTGCTTAAGAACAACTAAAGGAGGATGCCCAAAACAAGAATACAACCAGCGATGCAAGTTTCTCTGTACATACAACAGTATGCCTGTGCATGTTGAGCTGACAACTGATATACTAGTTTGTAACGCTAACAAACAGTACTTCTCTTTGTTACTTCTTCACACAACACATAGTTGCTGTTGTTTTTAATTTGTTTACAGTATTTATAGCCTGCTCGTCATTATTTTCAATCTCAGAATTGGGAACAAAGTAATAAAAACAGAGAAAAACAATATACCAAAATTACAAATCCTATAAACAGGTCTGACAAACAATGTATTAACAAATCTGCCATAAGACAAACAAGTGAGACTACAATGACAAAAATTAAAATTTACAATTTAACCAGATGCCTGGGTTAAAAAAAACACAGAACACTTTCAAATAGATTAAACCACCAATGGTTTTAGCAGCAGCTCCCATGTCATTTTTCACTTACGGCAACGTACTCACTCCCCCTCTTTCTCTCACACAAAGAGAGCTAAAGGTCAGAAATTATACTAGAAATGCAAACCTGCGATGGCAGGCACATTATCATTAAGCCATAAAACATAATATAATATTGCAGCCTGCTGTTATTAGGATAGAAGGAAGGCAGAGAAGCCAAACTAGTTTACCAGGTAACATGCTAGCAGTTCCCCAGCTGCTCCAGAGTCTTGTTTAAGTGACCCAGACCAGTAACTACACTCTGAAATTAAAATGGTTAAAAATGGAGCATGCCTTTAATGTTTCTTTATCTAAGTTATTAGTTCTTGGTTAGCTAAAGCTAGCTGCTGTCCAGCGTGTTTAAGGACATCTGAAGGATCATTATGTTTTGAGAGATCACTATGGGAGGGAAGAAGCCAAGCTCATAGCTGCGGAAGCCTGACACATTACTAAATGTATGGAGGGAATCCTCACAATTCTACTCCACACTAAAGCGTTATAGAGTCAGTTTTAACTAGAAGGGCTGAAAATTAAAGGCATCCATGCTCATTTTTGAAGGTTGTAGCACATTATTGGAATCGTGATGTTTAAAAATAAAGATCCTGCACATGTTAGTTATACGAATGCAAAAATTAGCTGATCTTTACATTGCTCATTGACTTGATAACATGCATCCGTTCCTGGGACTTATGCCTGTCTTGACAAATTTGTGAATATAGTCCAGCACTTACAAGGACTTCTTGGATTAGTTAAACATACTCAAGTATAAGCAAAAACCTTAGGCATGGCTATTCAGAAGCCCTGGTATGTTTAATGTTGCTCTTTCTTACATCTGTATAGGACTCCAGGTTAAATTTTATGGTAAAGGACTAAGCATTAATGTGCACACCCATCATTTCTGACATTAACTACCAGGATAACATCCCAGTACTAATCTCCTTCCATTTTTATGTATAACTGGAATTAATATACTTAAATTTACTTAAATATTTAAATATAGTCATGATGGAGGAAGTAGCAACACAAGAATGTGATTCAATTCCTATTGATGACCTTACTGCCAATATTTTCTTTTTAAAATGAATGAATGCTCCTCTGTAGGATGGATAAACAGTTTTGCAATTATGGATCCAACATTTCACATTGAAATCTTTTATGAAGTCACTGGTTTAAAAATACAAAGAGTTCAGAGATCACAATTCTGCTTGAACCTTTACCAATGGTTGACTAAAGTGACATTGGTTGTCTTTTGAGGAGACTTACAGGGAGACTCTAATTGATGAATGAACTTTGTACAAGTTGCCCTATTTAAAATGTATGGAAATATACTTTTCCAACAAAGCACATGACGGGCTTCATAATTAAGTGCATAATCACAATGTCAAAGTATACAGAAGAAGATCAGTAAAACAGAAAATGTATTATGTCGTGAACATAAAACTATTCAATCTACAATGTGACAACTTGCCTGATGGTACTGTTTAAACCTGTTGCATTCAGCAAGGGATGTCAAGGGATGGTGAATTTAATATGATTGGGTGGTTTGTTTCCCTGGGGTGGTCTGAGTTGCTAGGATACTGACAGAAGAAAAACAAAATGGAAATCTATTACCCAGCTGAGAACCCCCTCTCACAGTAACACTTCATATTATCTTCTATCTGCTGTAAGCTACTTTGGGAGCCAATTTTTGGTTCAAAGCAGCTTGAAAATATAAAAAACCTATTAGTGTTTGTACAGATAATTGGTTTTTCAACAGTGTGTTCACCATTATACCCCTTTTAAGGTTGCACTTCCCTTGCACACATGGGGAGCTTCCCAGCTTACAAACCTACTTCCTGATTAGTGCTAAGCTTAGTTTGTCAACTTCAGACTTAATGGCAATCAATGATTATATCAAGCCATTGAAGCCAGAGGAGAATCTGAGTGCTAGTCTTTACTGCTATCCCACTTAATGTTATCGGAAGATTTGACAGGAAGGTTTCCGGGGGGCGGGTATGATTATTCTTTTTTCCTGAGTTTTTACAATTTTAATGGCTGGGTCAGTCCATTTCATACTCTCTCTTTGGCATGCAGCAATGGGCTGTGCTTGATTATTAAGATTAGGTCACCCTTCACCAGGCCTTTGATTCTATCCCTAGGTTTTAGAGATATTTATAGGGGAAATGGTTATGTTCATTTGGCCTCATTTCCTTTACACTCCTTCTGGCTCTATGATGGGTTTGTTTTCTCTGATGATGTATCTCAATATTTGACATATTGGCTGCTGTGTTGTGCTTTCTTATCCACTTGTAATTTATTCATTTTGGAAAGGAAGGTTGGATATCACACTTGATACCCAGCTCTACCTCTCTTTCAAATCAGAACCAGTGAAGGCGGTGAAAGTCCTGTGTGAGTGTCTGGAGGCGGTTGGAGGATGGATGGTGGCTAACAGATTGAGGCTGAATCCTGACAAGACAGAAGTACTCTTTTTGGGGGACAGGAAGCGGGCAGGTGTGGAGGACTCCCTGGTCCTGAATGGGGTAACTGTGCCACTGAAGGACCAGGTGCGCAGCCTGGGAGTCATTCTGGACTCACAAATGTCCATGGAGGCGCAGGTCAATTCTGTGTCCAGGGCAGCTGTTTATCAGCTCCATCTGGTACGCAGGCTGAGACCCTACCTGCCCTTGGACTGTCTCGCCAGAGTGGTGCATGCTCTAGTTATCTCTCGCTTGGACTACTGCAATGCGCTCTATGTGGGGCTACCTTTGAAGGTGACCCTGAAACTACAACTAATCCAGAATGCGGCAGCTAAACTGGTGACTGGGAGCAGCCGCCGAGACCATAACACCGGTCTTGAAAGCCCTACACTGGCTCCCAGTACGTTTCCGAGCACAATTCAAAGTATTGGTGCTGACCTTTAAAGCCCTAAGCAGCCTCGGTCCAGTATATCTGAAGGAGCATCTCCACCCCCATCGTACTGCCCGGATACTGAGGTCCAGTGCCGATGGCCTTCTGGTGGTTCCCTCGCTGCGAGAAGCCAAGTTACAGGGAACCAGGCAGAGGGCCTTCTTGGTAGTGGCACCCACCCTGTGGAACGCCCTCCCACCAGATGTCAAAGAGAAAAACAACTACCAGACTTTTAGAAGACATCTGAAGGCAGCCCTGTTTAGGGAAGCTTTTAATGTTTAACAGACTATTGTATTTTAATATTCTGCTGGAAGCCGCCCAGAGTGGCTGGGGAAACCCAGCCAGATGAGAGAGATATAAATATATTATTATTATTATTATTATTATTATTATTATTATTACATGTGATTGAATTGCTTTCTTCAACACAAGCTGGCAGCATTATTTAATGATATATGAACACTACCAGATCACATACAAAACCTTTAAAGTTCCATGTTTCGAACCAATCTCAGAAGTCAAAGAACCTTATTGTTCTCATACAAAGATTGAACTATTCTCACAGTGGAGAGCAAACTTGCATAACCTCTGGTCTGGGTAATCAGATTCAGCGCCTTCTCCTACCAGGATGCTTAATCAGCCATACATACTTGCTTAGTATGCCTCTTATTAGCACACAGGGCAAAGGCTAAACTACAGTGTTGTTTTAGGAGTGAAGCAGCCCTGCCACAGACCTGATCTAGATCTTCTCTTTAAAAAAAATCAAACCACGAAAACCTATGCAAATCTATGCATTTAACTTAATATGTAGCTGGGCTTTCAAAAGAAGAATGTCAAGTATAAGTTTAAGTGAGGAGAAAAGCGTAGAGCTATCTGTCATTGTCCAATGCATTCACTGCAAATCTACTATCCATTGCATTTACCTCATGATGCTCAGCCCAACCAAGGGTTCTCACAGCAGCATACAAAACCAGAAATCTAGAAACATTTCAATATTCATTATCTAAAACCAGCAACATTTAAAATCAGATTTTTAAAACACTTTTGCTATCCCCCAGTATTTGTATACCCTTGTGGCAGAACCTGATTTGTGGAACTGCCTTCTCAAAGAGGGTTGTGGGCACCATCTTTATTCTCTTTTTAGTGCTAGATGAAAACTTTATTTACACTTTTTTTTCATACTGCCATTTTTTTTATTGTCACAGTACTGTATTTCATCTCTTAAGTTGCAATGTTGCTCTGAAATGCTTTAATAAGTATATAGGTAAAGGGACCCCTGACCATTAGGTCCAGTCACGGACGACTCTGGGGTTGTGGCGCTCATCTCGCTTTATTGGCCGAGGGAGCTGGCGTACAGCTTCTGGGTCATGTGGCCAGCATGACTAAGCCGCTTCTGGTGAACCAGAGCAGCGCAAAGAAATACTGTTTACCTTCCCACTGGAACGGTACCTATTGATCTACTTGCACTTTGACGTGCTTTTGAACTGCTAGGTTGGCAGGAGCAGGGACCAAGCAACGGGAGCTCACCCCGTCACGGGGATTCGAACCGCTGACCTTCTGATCGGCAAGCCCTAGGCTCTGTGGTTTAACTCACAGCGCCACCTGCGTCCCTATTATAAGTATATAATAGTATATAAAAAGATACTACATTCAGTCTGGAAATCTGCAGCACTGTACAGTTGTCAGAAATGTCAACAGACAGATTCAGGATAGATGCTGTTCCAAACAAAAAAAATAAAATATGATGGCAGCAAATAATTGTGCCAGAATATTGACTGATAACAGTGAACTTACTCACCTGCTACTAACATCCCATAGTGTCTGTATTAGAACTATCCCAATGAATTTTGTGGCAATGCAATTAAATAATTAGACATTTTGATAATGTCTTAATCAGTATTTCATCCTACTAAAGCATTAAAACACTGTTGCTCTACACTCCTGTTCTACTAATTTTATTATTGGTTGGTTTTGTGGTTGCAGTTTTATGATTTTAATGACTGTGTGTTTTGTTTTTAACTGTGAAATTTTTGTAAGCCACCCAAAGACTATATGCTGAAGGGCAGGCTATAAGTTTAAATAAATAAATGTGCAACTAGTGCCTAGCACTAACTTGCACATTGGAACTCTGAACAGATACTGTGACAAAAGATAAGAGATGGAAAAGAACTATAAATGTATTGTGGTGATACATCAGAGTGGTTCAAAATTCCATTTTATTAGGTTTACAGCTCTGCTTAGTCCATAAATATTTTACTGCAAGTTTAACTGTTTCTCCCATTACGAGCCTTTCATCAGTTCACCACCCACTGGTAAGTATACATGTTTTCGCTGTCCCTCTTCCTTTACTTTCAAAATATTATTAGCCTTATGTTATGAAAGAATCTCACAAATTCTCATTCCAATGTCTTTTGAGCATTTTTTTTTTGTCTTGTAAGGATATATGCTTGTATCCCCTGACCCACAATCACTAGATACTCAACTTCCATGAGAAAAAAGCAGCAAATGCACATATCATTTGTCTCACGTTTCTTCTTTTCCAGTAAAGACTGAGCATACTATAATGGCATCACATTGTATGTATGGGGGTGGGGCTGAATAAAACAGTCAAAAGGCATCTATGCCTAATGTATTCTTGTAGAGCCCATCTTGCTAAGGCACATGGGCATCTACTGAGGAATAACAACACAGGAGATTAAAAAGATCCCCCTGCTAATATGTAGGCATGTAAACTACAGGAAGAGGTGATGGCTAAAGACAAAAAAAGAAAAGGAGAGAGATAAGTATGCACAGTAAGAGAAAGAACAAGGGCTTTGTGGAAAACACCACAAAATATGAAAACTTAGATAAAGGGGAGAAGGAAGTAATTTGAGACTGGGGGAAAGGAAGGATGTACTGTAGTCTTTAAAGCAGAGACTACATCCTACAGGCTACTTTTTTCAGCAGGAGGGCTGCGTTGAGGGCTGGCCACCCATCTGAGATCTACATACCAAGAATGGAAGTGGTCAGAGTGGCATGGTCAATAAATGCATGAGCATGCACACACACAAACACTTACCATATATACAACAGATGCCCACACATACAGCCAGACATACACACATTCAGACAGGCAGGCAGACAAGTGTGTGGGGGGGGTCACAGTATTTCTGCTTCTATTCCATCACTGTGCTGAGGAGCAAAAATTGATTCAGAAGTCTTCTTACTTTGTAAATGTGCCTATTCTCCTCCCCATTGCAAGAAAGTCTTAGGGCTCAGGAAACAGGACGAAGTTAACTTTCTTGTTTCCAAAACTCTGAGGCTTTCTTGCCATAAACACCTCACTATAAGAAGGAGATGTGCATTTAAGTTCAGGCAGAAATGTCCACTTTGGGGGACATCCCAAAGCAATATAGTGGGAACATTACAGCACTTTAGCAGAGTTGTTTTTTAAAAAAATTAGTTCCAAATTACTCAGGTCCAGGGGAGCCACAACAAAACCCTTGGGAGGACAGGGGCCAGCCTGTTCAAAAGAAAGAAAGAAAGAAAGAAAGAAAGAAAGAAAGAAAGAAAGATGTCACTAGCCACTTCAATGCAAACTCCAATACTATGATTTTCACAGACCTGTGGGGCTGAGGCTGATAACTGCTACAAACCAACTGGGCCCAGATAAGGCAACATTTGCAGTCTTCTGCAGAATGGTGACATATCTTTTGGCAAGAGATTTCCTATTTGCTTTGCTCCTACCTTCTAAAAGGCTTCTATGTCAAAAGTGAAATAGTATCAAGTTTCCCCACTCTTAAAGTAAACAGTTAAGGATTTTAAGGTGAGAAAAGTCCAGTCAGCACACTTAACAGATTATGAATAAAAATCCACATGTGCCAAGAAGAATGTCCTCCTTGAGGGGGCTTTTTAATTTACTCAAGCGGCCATCTGTATTTGAAAGCCTCATTTGCTACTCTCTTTCATAGCTACTTAAATGAGCTACACGTCAAAGTATGCCAGTGTTGACATCAATGTTGTGCCCTCTAAAGCTGATTAACAGCGGTTTTGATCCTCTCCTGCTTTCCCAAGTAATTAAAGCATAAGGAAATGAAACCTATGTGGAAAGCAAGCCTAGGAAGAGGAAGCTGAATATTCAAATGGTGAGAGGCAGGACACTCAACCTGCCGGATGAAGCAAGCTCTTAGCCCACAAGCGCTTATGCCACAATGTGTTAGCCTTTTAAAAACACAGGGTACCTCGCTTTTGGTGCAACACGCCAGTTACCACACCAGAGTGCTTTAATTTGCATGAGGAAAAGCTCCCTCCTCGCTTGAAGCTCTATGTTTTTTAAGTTGTATTCATTGAACTTGTTTTTATTATTGCTTGTTAGCTGCCCTGAGCCCGGCCTTGGCTGGGGAGGGCGGGGTATAAATAAAAATTATTATTATTATTATTATTTACTGCCTTCATAGGAGCTACTCATATCCTGCTGTGCCAACACTCCTCTCTATACAGTCCTACCTTGAGGCCCACCTCCAAAATCTTTGCCCGCCCACCCATTTCCACACCTTTTTCGTTTTAAGGGGCTCACTCGTCCAGCTCACTCATCGTTCCTGTCACCGCCTCTAGGTCATGATCCAGCAGCCCAACCCCCCGCACGCTTCTGATTTAAGGTTTGCCCCAAAGCGGCAGCCACCCTAATCCAGGTTCCCAATCCAGGGTGGGCCTCACCCCCGGCAGAAAACGTGTACTCGAGCGGAAATACCCTCCCGCCGCCGCCCCCCCTCCAGGCAGGGAGGTGCACCCGGTGGCCTCCCGTCCCCTCTCGGCACACGCCCTCAGGCCCCTCGGAGCCCAGCTCGAGGCGCTCCCTCTCCCCTGGGGAACTCCTCACACCGCTACCGCCGCCGCCATCACCACACAGGGCAGCCGAACCTGGGCGGAAGGGGAGATAGCAGCGCCCACCCCTCCGCCCGCTCCTCACCATGGTACAGATGGAGGCGAATTTGGAGACTGTCATTAGGATTTCCATCCGCGCAGCGCCATCTTCCACCCAATCACACGTCGCGGCGAGCCGGGGGAGTTTCCCACCGGAGGAGGAGGAGGGGAAGGGGAAGAAAAAAAAGAAGACCCGGGCGCCGCCCCCAAGCAACGGCTGAGGGAGAGCGGGATGCCTCCGCCCCCCTCCGGCCTCCCCGAGAGCTCCGCCCGCCTGACGAAACGACCCGTAAGCAGTTCCAACCGCCGAGACAGACGACGGTGGGCGGGGGGGGTGACGGAGGGCACGCGCTGCGTCCGCTCGCCTTGCCCTCAGCACTCAACCAACCGCCCTTCTCCGCGCGCCGCCGCCGCCGCGCAGCCTCTTCCGCCCGCACGAGCCCCGCTGCCCCTACTACGGCTTGCTACCCGGAACCGTAGCGCCGTAGTCTCGCAGGCCCCCAAGAGCGCAGCCAATCCGCTTTCCCTGATCAGCGCGAGAGCACGCCGGCTGCCTCTCCGTGGCTCCCCGAGGTCCTAGCGCTAGACGTCGAGTAGTTTTTATTTTGGGGTGGTTTCCTCCCCCCCTCGCTCTTGCTGTTCGTGGTTAATACGCGTCTTTCTCTCGTACACGCGCGCAGGTGATGCGTTGTGTGTTTTAGGCTCCTGAGAGCACGAAACAAGAGAGGGTAGTAGTAGGTATGTTAAGTGTTTCTGCAGCGGGAGCAACCGTAGCGTAATGAGATAGTTGCAGCCATGCTCCCCACCCCGCTCCAGCTGCCACACCCTTTCTAAGATTATGCAAGCTTCGAAGGTTATACAGTAAGTTTATAATTATACAGTAATAATTAAGGATACATTGCAGCGATTATTGCAGATCCCTGTGGGTTGCCTTTCATCTAGATATATACCGTTTTATGCGCTCATAACATGGGCAAACGGTTTGGGAGAGCTCCAATATATTCATTAGGTTGCGTTTTCCGTGACATTCCAGTAAATGCAACACAGTTCTCTTGGAATGGAAGCGCCTGGTGTTTTCAGGTTCCTTAAATGCTTGGCTTTGAAGCACACAGTGGCTAAAAAGCTCTCTTTTCATGTCGGTTTGGCGGCTCTAGGACCCCGGAGAGAGGGATGCTGCAGGGACGCTGCTGCAGAAATAGTAGCCGCCGACCACCACGACCTTCCCCCCACGTGCACACTACACCACCTTAAAGATTGGAATTAATTATAGAATAAGCTTTTGGGGGACACACTCCACTGCATCAGACACATAAAGTCATGATCAGTTGCATCTTCAGGCGTCCCATCAGGCTATAGGAGAGGGAAAGAGATGGGACTGCTGTGCTGAAAAAGCATCTCTGTTATGTTCCGTCCTCAAAGGTCACAGCAAGTCATTCCATCCAGTTATAGAAGGAGAGAGAAATGGGACTTATCGCCATCAGTGTTGTTCTGTTAAAGGACCAGCAGCTTTCATAACTCCTTGAAATCTTTCCACTGGTCATGCCAATAATTAAATTGCCAAGAAACTGTGCAAAACGGTATGTCCACATTACCAATAACTGCAGTCAATGTGTTCCCACCGCAAGTTTTTGAAGCTGCATTCACATGTTGTTAACCATAGTTTCTTCACAAATGCCGGTGATTGATGCATTTCTCACCTCAAATCAGCTTTAATCCAACTAGAAATTTGGTTGTGGAGAAAGTGGGAATGTGAACGTATGAGCCAGCTGTTGTGCGTGCGCAGTTCTAGGGTGTGTGTTTACAGCGGTGGAAAACCAAAGAAGTCATGTACATGGAATACATCCCGATCCTTTCTCTGATGTGAACAGCACAGCACAAATGCAGCTTGAAATGGCAGCAGGGGTAAATGATCTTATAATCATAGAATCTTAAGAGTTGGAAGGGACCCCAAGGGTCATCTAGCCCAACCCCCTGCAATGCAGGAATCTCAGCTAAAGAATCCATGACAAATCGCCATCCAACCTCTCTTTAAAAATCTCCAAGGAAGGAGACTCCACCACCTCTCATGAGAGTCTTTACCACTGCTGAACAGCTCTGTAATAAAGTTTTTTCCGAATGTTTAGTCACAATCTCCTTTCTTGCAACTTGAAGCCATTGGTTCAAGTCCTACCCTCCAGATCACGAGAAAACAAGCATGCTCCCTCATCCATGTGACAGACCTTAAGCTATATGAAGATGGCTATCATATCCATGTCCTCTCAGTTTCCTCTTTTCCAGGCTAAACATACCCAGCGCCTTCAATCGCTCCTCATAAAGCTTAGTTTCCAGACCACTGATCATCTTGGTTGCCCTCCTCTGCACATGTTCCAGCTTGTCAACATCCTTCTTAAATTGTGGTGCCCAGAATTGGACACAGTATTCCAAGTGTGGTCTAACTAAGGCAGAATAGAACGGTACTATTACTTCCCTTTATCTGGACACTACATGTAGCCTAGAATAGCATTAGCTTTTTTTTTACTGCTGCATCTTGCTCTGTTTGAAGCAACAAATATTAAAATACCCCAATATTGCTTTTCCCTCCTCCCCCCTAATCCCCTTTCCTTTTGTGCTGTGTTTTTTATTAATTATTTACAACATTTAAATACCACTCTTTGGTTAAAAGTCTCCCTGAGAGCCTTACAAAAATCAGTTCTAAGATGGTCCCTGCCCTCGGGTTCACATTCTAAAGAGACATGAGGAGGGAGGGAGAAGCGAAAGGCAAGCTTAAGCACAAATTCATTCCTTATGAAACAGTTATTATTGTGGCTATCTAGAAGAGGAAGAGCTCCTGGTTGTCATACTGCTCATGCATCTCTCCATAACACGGCCTGATGCAGTTTAAAGCCACTGTGTAAGATGGTAGTACAGTGGTACCTCGGGTTAAGAACTTAATTCATTCTGGAGGTCTGTTCTTAACCTGAAACTGTTCTTAACCTGAGGTACCACTTTAGCTAATGGGCCTTCCCACTGCCACCACCGCACGATTTCTGTTCTCATCCTGAAGCAAAGTTCTTAACCCGAGGTACTACAGTATTTCTGGGTTAGCGGAATCTGTAACCCGAGGTACCACTGTACGTCAAAATGTTGGTAATGCATTTTGCACTTGTCTCCCATTTGATGGGCCTCCAGGGCTCCTTGTATAAATAAAAGGTGCAGAGAATCTTTCCTACCTCATAATATTAGAACTCGGCACCATCCAATGAAGCTGAATAGTGGAAGATTCAGGGCAAATAAAAATGTACTTTTTCACACAGTGCATCGTTCAACATGTATCCAACTGACTAATTAGCATTTACTCAGGGACTCGCCAAAGTCTTAAAACATTTGAAATTGGCAGTGCCCATTATTGCATCTTAGGTATTCCCCATTGTGTGAGGTGTTGAAGCAGTACAAATGAAGGCGGGTGGTGTGTATGTGAACCTGATTAGGAGAACTGATCCTTAATGGCTGAGCCGATCAGGTGCAAGGAGCAAGCTTAGCTGTTCTCCACAACAGCTCTGTAACTTTCTCTTACGTGCCATTCATTCTTTCGAAATTAGTGCCGGGAGGATGCAGCACTTGAGATCGCTTACAGTGGGCCAAAAACCTGCCCTCCATCGCAGTTGTTCCTCCATAAGAAAAATAAAATGTCCAACACGGCCTATCCGCTGCTTGCAACATCCAGTTATTACACAGATGGTGCTATTCACAGCGGCACATGACTCCATTCAACCGGCTCCCTGGGACCACGTGACGGCAGCCAGCCGCACGCGCTGCCTAACGCCTGTGTGGGCGCGGTCAGCTCCTCGCCCCGTGCTCCGTTTTGCCTTGCAAGGGCCTCCTGGAAAGCGCGACTACGACAACTGCCTGCCTCCGTTCACAGTACTACGGAAGAGAGGTATTTATTCCCTACTCGGCTGCTTTCTCCCCAGCACCCGTGTCGCTTCCTTTTTATATATATTTATATATGTATATATATATAATATATTTATATTAAAGTTTCCACGCCAGCACGCGACGTCGCATACACTCCGGCGTTTCTGCGGGACAGCCCTACATCCCGGAGGGCCCCTGCACGCGGGCAGGAAGGAGCGGAGAGCGCAGGAAGCCCCGCCTTCTTTCCTTTCGGCCTCGGACGCCATCTTACAGGTACACGGCGGAGCTCGGCTGCTCCTCTTCCACTCCTGGGGGCCGCTTGTAGCGGGTCCGTGAGGGGCTTGGGCGCGAAATGGGCCGGTGGCGGAGAAACGGGAGAGGGGGAGCTGCTCCGGGCGGCGCTTGGAAGTGGGGAGGGCGAGGGAGCGAGAGCCGTTTCGCCGAGGGCGGCCTGGCCTTCGGGAGGGATGGGAAGAGAGGGGAGGCCGGCTAGGTGGGAGAGGGCGGCGGCGGGACCCGGACCCGGGAGCGGCGCCAGTGGAGTGCGCTGGCCTCGGAGGAAACGGCAGCAACGGGTGCGATCCAAGCGCACGTGGAGGTTTGCGATGGAGGCCGCCGCCGCCTGCTTTCTCCTCGTCCAGAAGTGGACTGAGCGCATGCCTTGCATGCAGAAGGCCCCAGGCTCCCGTCTCTGGCTTCTCCAGTTAAGGCAGGACCTCGAGTGGCAGGGCTGGGAAGCCTCAAAGGTCTGGATGTCACTAAGGTGTATGGAAACGTATCTTATCCTTGCAGCGGTTCTCAACCTGTGGGTCCCCAGATGTTGTTGGACTACAACTCCCATCATCCCTGAGCTCTGGCCTTGCTAGCTAGGGGTGATGGGAGTTGTAGTGCAACATCTGGGGACTCACATGTTGAGAAAGGCTGTTTTATGGAGATCCCCCCCCCCCCCCAAAATTCGCCTGCTCTTGAGCGTCTGTGGCTTTTCCAGAGGCTTCAGCAGGGATATCTTTTGTACCGCCTCAACTCCTGGTTTTTTTTAATCCTGGAGGTAGCAGAGACTGAACCTGTGTGCAAATGAACTTGGAAGTGTTTTGGAGGATATTGTGTGTATCCACACACAAGCAAAAGTGGGTGTGGATACCTGGGTGTAAAATGCATGTATGTGGATTTCAAGATGTTGCACAGGTAATTCTGACGAGATATTCAGGCTCGAATGAGATATGATGCTAAACATGTTTAATGCTAGACAAGGGCTTTTCTGCAGTATTGTAGTGTGAGGGGTATATAATCCCTCCCGCCTGACAATCTTGATATACGCCCCCTCCCCTCATTGTTATTTGCTTTGGGGGAAAGCTACCATTGTGCATGTTTTAATTTTATTTTCTGTTAATTTTTGATCCAATTGTATTTTCTCTTTCAGTAAACCTTCAAGATGACCAACACCAAGGGGAAGAGGAGGGGGACACGTTACATGTTCTCAAGACCCTTTCGCAAACATGGTAGGGAATATTTGTTCAGCTAGTTTAGTTGGTCAGTGGGTTTGTTGCTTCTAGTTTATCCAGGAATAAGGGTTATTTCAGTAAACTGATGTGACCACCAAGGTCAGGTGAAACTTCACATCCCATAGTCCATATGCTATCAGTATCAGCTAAGACTTACGCATCTTTAATTTATTGAAAAATGTCATTACATATACACTGCTAGAAATCTGTAGATGCAGGCTAGAAAGCTCAGAAAGCAGCACTAATAGAGGGGCTTTGGGAAGAGGAATTGCTTCTATGTGTAGCTTATATAGCCTGAATGTTGTAAGTCAATTTTAATACCTTTAAAACATTTCATAGAGTTGGAAGAGTTCCCAAGAGTCGACTAGCCCAACATCTGCTTAAAATCCTCCAAGGAAGAAGAGTCCACCACCTTCTCAAGGGAGTCCATTCCATTGTCAAACAGCTCTTACTGTCAGAATGTGCTTTCTGATGTTTAGTTTGAATCTCCTTTCTTGTAACTTGAATCCATTGGTTCAGGTACTATCTTTCAGAGCAAGAGAAAACAAGCTTGCTCCATCCCTCATGTGACAGCCCATTAGTAATTTGAAGATGCCCATAATATACTCTCTCAACCACCTTTTTCTCAAGCTCAAACATACAAAACTAACTTGAGTAAAAATATGATTGATTATTACATCTTTTTCATAGGTGTGGTCCCTCTCGCTACCTACATGCGCATCTATAAGAAGGGTGATATTGTTGACATAAAGGTATTTTTAAATTTAAAAATGCTCTAATGCTAAATCTAATACTGTAGTTCTCTCATTATCCGTCTAAAACAGAATTCAAATTAAATACAATCTAACAGAATAACAAATATTGTTTTGCTTGCCCTGCCCTAGAGTATTAAATGCTGGGATTTGAACTATGCTCACATTTGCATTTCATCTTACAATGTAATTTGGAAAATACACAGAGAAGTATTAATTCGCCAGAAGGTTGCCCTCTTCAGTATAACACACTATTGCTGATACAGAACTTTACTTGAAATTTTAATTTCATAACACTCTGGAGCTTGATGATGATTGTCTCTTATGATTGCTTTTGTAATAGCAAAGTGAGCAAATCATTTCACCGGCACTGAAAGCAAACCAGAGATGTCCAGTTCTTCAGATTTAATTTTATTTGATTAAATATTTTAAGATAGCATTAATGTGTAAGGATAATTGTGCCAACCATGCGTGTATTGGCAAAGCATTCATCAGTTTGGATATGGCTGTTGCATGATTTGATTTCCTGCAACAGGATAAGTGAGCAACTGGAAGACCCAGTACTTGGCTCTAGAATTTTATTTCAAATGGTAAACATTGCTTGATACACAATGCTATTCCATTTGCAGAGTAGACCAGTTGAAATCTAGTCCATTGATTGCAATAGGACTATACTGAGTATGACTTGCTAGATATTACCCACTGTATAATCCAAAACATAGTAGCTTACTTGATAGTTTAATTATTAGACAGATGCTTAGTCTAAAGCTTGGGAACCTGACATTGGAGGACTTTGGGACAAATATATATTTTTTAACGTGATCTTTCTGATACCATATTGGAAGCTTTTGGGAAATGTTGCTAATGTTATGATTGCAACTGCTTTAGTTCAATATATCTTTGGCATTTTTTTGTAAGATAAGCTATGGTAATATTTTCTGTCTGTCTTTTATTAACAGGGCATGGGCACAATTCAGAAAGGCATGCCCCACAAATGTTACCATGGCAAGACAGGAAGGGTATACAACATTACCCAGCATGCTGTGGGCATTATTGTGAACAAGAAAGTTAAGTAAGTGCTACTAAAATGGTTTGGAGCTTTAATTGCATTGATGGATTCCTTTCTCCCCATTCACTTTGCCAGTTAGACATTTGTTGTCTCCATTGGCCATTCAGGTGGGGCAGAGGCAATATCCTTTTAAAACCCAACCAGTTAATACTTAATTGGCTTGGATCCTGTCAAAGGAAACATATTGAAAAGTTCTTCAAAATCTGAAAGCTTACTTGTTCCTACAGCAATCAGAGTTGCCTATGCTCTGAAACCAGCATGGTAACCATGTGTACTGACTTGGGCTCAGCTGTTAGTCCTATTTGGTCTTTTTTTAAAAAAAAACAACCCACAGGAAAAGCTGCTAAATCTAACAGTGTTGTGTTCTGTGTCTAGGGGCAAGATTCTGGCCAAGAGAATTAATGTGCGAATTGAGCATATTAAGCACTCAAAGAGCAGAGACAGCTTCTTGCAGCGTGTGAAAGAAAACGAAAGAAAGAAAAAAGAAGGAAAGGAAAAGGGAATTTGGTTTGAACTAAAACGCCAGGTAATGTATTGAGATGTGAACAAAGTGTATGTACATTGTCTGCAAACAAGGGGGGGTTGGCGGAAGTGGTTTGAACATTCTATGTGACTAAGATGTCAGGAAGCAATTAAGCTTCTGACAAGAGAAGAATGTCAGGTAATTAATTCCATTAACACATTTTTCAGATTAGAAGGAAGTTTAGTCATAAACACTAGTGGGGGGGGTTTCTGCATAATCCAGGTATGTTTCAAATGCATTTAGCCTTGGTATTATTTTTATAAAGTTATTTTCAGTGCTAGTAGGTAATCTTTGTGCATATTATGGGGGGCGGGGGGAAGAAAGCTGCTGTTAGGCTGGTTTTAAAAAATTGCTACTGTGTGACTCATCCTATTCTCAAGTGATACAGCAAACTTTCTAGGGGAAAATATATTTAATAAATTATAAAATGATTCATGCATAGAATTATCTGTTGCCATATTGCGAGACGAGGTGCCATGCTTTCTCAAGTCTAAAGTATTGTAGTTTTTTGCTGTAGATTTTTTGTGTTCTAGGGACATAGTGCTGCAGTAAAAACAAGGAAAGCCCAACAGATGGCACCTGGACTAAACAATGCTATTGTAACTTGTATTTATGTTTAAATTTCTTTTTCTGTCTTCTAGCCTGCTCCTCCAAGAGAAGCCCACTTTGTGAGAAACAATGGCAAGGAGCCAGAGCTGCTGGAACCAATTCCATATGAGTTTATGGCATAGTGTATGTAAACAAAATAAAATACCATGTTGAGGACCTAAGTTTGTGTTGGTGTAGTCAAATTATTCTTAACAAGCACTGTGCTCTTGTAAAAAGACAAGAACTATTTGGCATGAATGGAGTGTTGAGTTAAATTATAGGCAGAAATGATCACTTTGTTGTTCTTTCTCGCCCCTAAGGGCTGTCCAATCCCCAATGCACTATAAATTGGCCCAAAATTCTTACTTGTGGGTATGTTGTTGATTTAATTCCAGCTAAGTGAGCTGGATGTTTAAAAATACATAAATAATACTTATTAGTTAGAGCTGATTAGCATAGTCTCTCAAAGCATTGGATTGGGTTATAAAATTTAGTAACTTGAGCAGAGTTCTAGGTGTGCCAATCTGGTATGTGAGATTATATCATCTATCATCTATGCAATGACCGTTTTGTGTGTGGGTTCCATTCCTGGCTATATTTGATCAGTACATGCTATATCTTTATAAACTTTGATCAACAAAATCCATTTTGGAAAAGTTGAGCACATTCCAGCCACCCATTCTTAGGCTGTGTGTGTGGGAAAATTGCACGTAGATCACCTGTGTGAATTGAGAGTTTGATATCTAGCAGACTCTAAAAAATAACACACTTTGTTCTTATAAATTAAGTGCTGTTCATTACATTGATTGTGCTTTCCTCTTGTCCTTGATGGCTTAGTACAATTATGCTTTCTGTAGCTACAGGAGTAATGTTCCAAAAATACACCAACACTTGGTGATTCAACTACAGTTGGGCTGAAGTTGCTGAACTGAGTAGCCTCTCAAAAAGGAATCCAGACTCCAATGAAGTTTTTTGTCCTTTATTGTCTCAGGATAAGGGATGACAGCATCCCTTATTTCCCTTCCTCTACCCCCTTTCCAGTACATTTGCCTCTTGCCCCCACCAAGATTAGGGGATCAACTTAGTGTGAGATTATAAACCCATGTCGATCTTTAAATATGATTAATTCTGCATTTTAGCCTTGTCACCCTGCTGTGTGGCTTCCTTCTACAGAAAACATCTGTGGGGAATAGTGAGAAAAGAGTGATCTGGGAGATAAAAAATGGGCTGGTATGTCAACAGAAAACACTGGTTCGGGTAAAACATCCTAGAAATTGCATGGTTTTTTTATGGGTTCTACACCACGAGTACTGTGATGTCAGACATCGGATCTCTGCTGACAAAACACAGATCTGGTGCCTTCCAAAAAGAACCGCAGCATGCATTCTTAGGGGCCCTTGTAATTTTTACCAAGGATTCCCTTAAAACCACCATCAGATTATAGGTTAAGGGTGAAGGTCTGTAGCTCAGTGACAGGGTATTTGATTACATGCTGGATGTTCCAGATTCAATTCTTGTCATGTCCAGGTAGGGCTGGGAGATTTCCTACCTGAAACTGAAGAACCTCCATCTGTCTGAGCTAGATGGACCAATGGTCTGACTATAAGTCAGCTTCCTATGTGTTATTTTCTGTCATTCTACATAGAAAGCATAATATCCATCCTCAGAACAAGTTGTGCCAGAAAGCACCATGTCTTTACCCTTGGCTGTACATTCTACCAACAGATTTTGGAGCAGCACATTTTTCAATCTTCTAAAGATGTCACCTTTTTATACTATTTAAGTCTTGATCTGTGTCTTAGTTTCTTTCTCTGGCTTATCCCCCTATGTTCTCTTCATTAGCATCCTTTTTCAAGTATTTCCATTTCTGAATCTTTTGCGGTCCTTCTCCTTGTTTGCTGCTATTCCATCTTCTGTCTCATCCAGTCTTAGCTCTGTATCCTCACCCCCACACCTGTCATTCAACGTATACCTGGCCAGCTCATTCTTGATGGGTCAAAATACATTGAAAGAGTCAAAGCCACTTCAGACCATGTGGTGTATGTTTCAGGAGTGCCATACAAATGTGCACTTTTACAGAGAGCTGCAGAAAGCAAAAGATGGGGGTCAGAAATAGGTTACGTTATTAAAAGCAGCAGCTTTTGACTGGAAACCTATCAAGGTTTTTCTCTCTTTTTATCAAATAAAAATGTAGGTGGGCAAAACAAGCTTCCTATTTAGCTATGTGGTTTCATTGTTGAAATGAACTGAATAGAAAAAGTGACTGTACTATTCTATGGGACAAACATTGATGAGAGCGTGATTCAGTCGGGTTCAGAGTTGCCCACTACAAAACATTACGAGTAGCACATGCTTCTCCACTGTCCCAGGTGTGGGATCTCCATTTTGCACATGTGAAAAGGGTTAAAGGACATGCAAGCAAGTCCCCTTTGTTCCAAGCTCAGATGAGGCATTATTGCATCTGAATACCAGTTGCTGGAGGCTAGAGTGCTGCTGTGGCTGGGTCCACAGGCTTCCAGTTGGCCACTGTGAGAACAGGATGCTGGACCAGGGCAAATGGCCGGATCCAGGAGGGTCTTCTGTCCTTTTTTCATAATACTGGAACTCGGGGCAATGAGTGAAGGCAGACAAAATAAAGTAACTTAAAACTATCATCATTGTTAATCATTTTTAATTTGTATACCATCTATCTTACAATACCCAAGGTGGTTTACAAGCTGAGGAAACAAGGAATGTACACCTTATAACAATCTAATCCAATACAAAAATGTGATAATAAAACATAACTTTAAGCAAACTACATCAAACATAACATTCAGCAATAGTATAGAATAATAATACCAGCATATGAAAATTTAGCAGAAATTCACTCTTTAACAATTACAATAATTTCTAAACTACAATCAATAAAACAATGGCAAGCCACAGTGCATAAAATAATACAATACAAATTGAGAAGCAGAGGCTAGAGGGTGGAGCAAGGCAGGTGGAAGAAGGCCTTGCCTGATGAAGTCTCTCCCCTCACAGTTCTTCCTCCAGGACCACTGAGCCTAGGGCTTGCCGATTGGAAGGTCGGCAGTTTGAATCCCCACGACAGGGTGAGCTCCCATTGCTCAGTCCCTGCTCCTGCCAACCTAGCAGTTCGAAAGCACGTCAGAGTGCAAATAGATAAATAGGTACCACTCTGGTGGGAAGGTAAACAGTGTTTCCATGCACTGCTCTGGTTTTGCCAGAAGCGGCTTAGTCATGCTGGCCACATGACCTGGAAAAACTGTCTGTGGAGAAACATTGGCTTCCTCGGCCAGTAAAGCGAGATGAGCGCGACTGGACTTAACTGTCGGGGGTCCTTTACCTTTTTAGGGCCAGAGGCTGGGGCAAGGCAGGTGGAAGAAGGCCTTGCCTGATGAAGTCTCTCCCCTTACCTATGAATCTGTGTGTAAACAGCTCAGGACTGCAATACCTCAAGGACCGCCTCTCCCCACATAAACCAACCTGGATGCTGTTCCTCACCTGAGGCCCTTCTTTGTGTGTCTCCTCCCCGAGAGGTCCGAAGGGTGGCAATCCAAGAGTAGGCTTTTTCTGCCGCGGCTCCCTGTTTGTGGAATGCTCTCCCCAGGGAGGTTTGTCAGGCGCCTTCATTATATATATTTTAGGCACCGGGTGAAAACATTCCTCCTCAACCAAGCCACTGGCTGATTAACACCCTGCAGCCTTTTAAATGCGCTGGGGGGGGTGTATTTTGTTTTACCATTTGTTTGTGTTTTTACCTTGTGTTTTTACCTTGCGAACTGCCCTAAGATCTTGGGATGAAGGGTGGAATACAAATCTTAATAATAATAATAATAATAATAATAATAATAATAATAATAATAATGGATGCCCACTTGAATGGCTTTAAAAGAGGATTAGACAGTCTTATTTTCACAGTGGCCAATGGCAACTAGACATGATCGCTCTGTTTTCTCTTTTTGGTGATGTGCAATGGGCTACCCTTTATCCCTCCCCCTGCAGCAGCAGCAGCAGCCCAATGTATTTCTATGCCGGCAGACTTGACTTTTTTGCTGGGTGCAAGAGAGACATCAGCCTCTCGAGTTGCCTGCATGGAGTTCCTGTCCACCCACAGCTTCCAGAGTAGTTCATTAATATAAGGCTGCTTTAAACCATATGCTGATAATTGGGTTATTCTGATACTTTATTTAAAACATTTCCATACCCGCCATTCAACTGAAAATGTCTAGGGAGCAGTTTACAACCATCAGAAAATTGTTTGTTAGCTATGTATTTGGACACTTCTTAGGATATCCACCATCGAAAAGACAGAGCAAGTTAACTAATAATGAACTGACAAAATGTAAAATGACTGTGGTTCTACAAGCAGGGAGCCTCAACCCTTTTGCCATTTGCTTTACTAGTCCCTTCAAGCAGCAACTTGTATTTCCTTTCTGCTCACTGAGAAGAGTTAATACAGGCACAAGAGGATGCTGGCTGTACGCAGAGAAGGAAAACACAAACACGCACATCTGTTTTCAAGCCTGCACCTATGAGCCATATTTGCAGAGCTCAAGAGGATGCAGGAGAGGGGATGGGTGGTAATTTCGAATCTGTTGTCAGCAGATTGTTCGAGGAAATGACAATAGGCAATATTCCAGCTTTTGTGTGTAGCCTTGAATCAATAAATCCTGCACTCAGGTGTTGCCACTTGAAGAAAGGAGGAGACAGAAAAACAGCCTCTCAATTCATATTTGTTACCTTTCCCCATGCAAGTGCAATAAACAAGTTTATATGAGCAGTATAAAGGAAAGCAGACTTCTCTGCTCTCGTATGGGGCATGGCTCCTAATTGTCCCTTTGCTGGTCAACCTCCCATTGCTTGGGAAAGTGTCACACCTCAGTAGCGGAGCATTTGTTGTGCAAGAAGAAGGCCTCATATTCAATCTCTGGCATCCCCAGGGAGGGCTGAGAGAGGATCCTGCCTGAAACCCTGGGGAACTGCTGCCAGTCAGTGTGGCGATACTGAGGCAGGGGGCCAACGCACCTGGTTCAGTATAAGGCAACTTCCTGTGTTCCTAAAGGAAATGCATTTTTGGGGTCAGTAGATTGCAGAGCTCTAATGCAAGGTGTTGTGGCCCTCCTGGATTCTTCAGTCCATACTGTGGTAAGCACAGGTAGATTCAAAAGTCAGCCTAGTTGGGCATCTGCTAGAGGCCTACACTCCAACAGAGCCACTTACAAGAATACCCAGAATTCCTCTGCTGCAGTGAGGTGGGAAACCTCCGGGGTGGGGCAGCTACAGAAGCTGTCTTGCCCAAGAGTATTCCAATAATAATCTCCCGTTTGGATTACTGCAATGCGCTCTATATGGGGCTACCTTTGAAGGTGGCTCGGAAACTACAACTAACCCGGAATGCGGTTGCCAGACTGGTGACTAGGAACGGCTGCCAGAACCACATAACACCAGTCCTGAAATACCTACGTTGGCTCCCAGTACATTTCCAAGCACAATTCAAAGGGTTGATGTTGACTTTTAAAGTCCTAAATGGCTTCGGCCCCATATACCTGAAGGATACATGTCCACCCCCATCATCCAGCTCAGACACTGAGGTCCAGCACCGAGGGCCTTCTGGCAGTTCCCTCACGGCCAAAAGTGAAGTTACAGGGAACCAGGCAGAGGGCCTTCTCAGTAATCGTGCTCACCCTGTGGAACGCCCTCCCGTCAGATGTCAAGGAAATGAACAACTACCTGACTTTTAGAAGACATCTGAAGGCTGCTCTGGATAAGGAAGTTTTTAATGTTTGATGTCTTACTGTGTTTTAATTTGTTGGAAGCTGCCTAGAGTGGCGGGGACAACCCAATCAGATGGGCAGCATATAAATATAAATTATTGCAGGGGAAGTCCCTAACTCACTGAGGTTCTGAGACCCATTGGCTGCAGTCACCTGGTTGAGCCAGTCAAAGCCATTCCCGGGATATGGCTGCTGTCACATGCTGACAGCTTCTAGGAACCACAGGCAAGGGAAGGAGGGAGTCTGGCCCAATGCTAGGCAGGAGCACTCCATACTGCAACATTTTCTTGCAGGTTCCCTTTTTGAATCATCCACAACCTTTTGCCACATTTTGGGAACTGCTCTGAACTGGCAATGAAATGCCCTGTATTGCTGGTCTGCTTGCGGTGCATTCAAACCCATGAAATTGAATTCACACTGGAAGGGAACAATTCAGAGTGCCAGCTAATAAACCATCTCAGAACGCGCCTATATTAGCTGCGATGTTTCATGTGGCTCCGCATAATGGTGCCTCTCATCTCTCTTATATGTGAGGGTGTTTCTTTTTCTTACAGATTTCAGCCAAACAGCTATGAAGCGCATCCCTCTAGAGGACTAAAACGGGAGCTCATTTCTTTTAGTGTGTCAGTAGTTTTATTTTATTTTTACACAGGGGAGAAAAATATGTTCAACAATTTTACTGCTCCTTCCAAAGCTAGCTTAAAAAGTAGATTAGTAGTGCAGTGTAATATTTTTGCAATGTGGGTTTACTGCAGTTACAAAAGCAATATTGCACTCTTTCCTTTCCTTTTTTACTCATTTCACAACATGACTGAGAAATTCAAATTTTAATGACATTGTTTATGAGCAAACCGGAGAGGCACATGAGACACAACAAACGCGCATAACACTGTTACCAGAGATAAAAATCTGGAAGAGGAGAATAACAAAAGCTTGTCCCGGAGGCTGGTATAGTTTAAACTCTTCTCAGTAAAATCACACAAGTCTAGCTAGATATGCCAGGGGAGCCAACATTGTGATACCCAGAAGTATTTAGACTACAGTTCCTATCAACCCAACTAGAAGCAATCAATGTGATGCTCTCTAGTGTTCCCCAATCCAGTTGTTTTCAGACTACAATTCCCATCATCACTGACCACTGGCCCTGCTTACTAGGAATGATGGGAATTGTAGTCCAAAAACAGCTAGAGACCCAAGTTTGGGAAGCACTGCCTTTGATCATTATTGGATTGGGTCATTTTTAGCTTGTGTACCCTATGATCCTCTCACCCACCACTGCCCCCACTCAGGTCCTGAGTTTGAGCCCCACGTTGGTCAAAATATTCCTGTGTTGCAGGGGGTTGTACTAAATGACACTCAAGAGTCCTTTCCAACTCTACAGCGCTTGGGGCAGGGACTGGGAGTAAGCTGAGGGAAGGGGGCTGTGGGCTGGTTCTCCCAGCTCCCTATCCCTGTCGCCTCGCTCTCCCCATAGCTGCTCTCAGTAACACTCAGTGAAGCAGCTTTACTTTTGCAGTTAGGAAAAGTACATATAGCGTCTCCGCTTATCGCAACAAAGGTGAAAGGCTGCCACCTCGCATCTTTGGAAGCGGTGCTTTGAAATCCCTCACGTCCTGAACTCCTTTGGTCTGAAGGAGTCCGTTTCCCGCTTAGGATAAGAAATGGTTCTGAGGAACAGACCCTTACCAAGCACCCTACATCCGACTACATGGCAGCTGCAGGCCCACACAATACACTTAAAGCACATTCCAAGCACAGGACTCCTTCACCCCAAAGAATTCTGGGAAGTGTAGCTTGCTAAGGTTGTTGGGAACTGTAGCTCTGTAGCAGACAGTCCTATCCTATGCCACACCAGATGCATGCCTACTATGGTAGCTATAGGAACCTTTCCTCCCCAATAAAATGTTTTAGTAACTTTTTAGCATTCTTCCACAGAACGCCTCCTGTCCTTACAGACCAATCCTTTCGCCCCATCTGTTTTGTCATGCAGTTGTCACATAGGCTTTGTATAAATATATCTTTAAACAACTGTGCACACCCATCTGATATCCCTGAATTGATTCGCAGAGCATCTGCACTGCATCACTGACAGTATGCCTTTGAATAGCAGTGGCTGGGTGTTGCAAGTGACTAGCGCTATCGCTAGTCAAGCCCTGCTTCGGGGCTTCCCACAGACACCTGGCTGGTCGATATGAGAGCAGGGTGTTGCAACGAATGAGCCTTTGGTCTGATCCAGAAGGACTTGTAATCTGGTGAACTGGGTTCACTTCCCCACTCCTCCACATGCAGCTGCTGGGTGACCTTGGGCTAGTCACACTTCTCTGAAGTCTCTCAGCCTCACTCACCTCACAGGGTGTTTGTTGTGGAGGAAGAAGGGAAAGGAGAATGTTAGCCGCTTTGAGACTCCTTAGGGTAGTGATAAAGTGGGATATCAAATCCAAACTCTTTTTCTTCTTCTGCACTTGTGAGTTAATGGCTGCTTTGCGCTAGAAAACTGCTCTCGCGTGTGGTCTGCATCTATTCTTCTGAGAGAATAGTTTCACTGGCATGAAAACAGAATCGCTGCAATTTTAATTTTCATACAATAGAAGCTACTATAAGCAGGCTTCTGTTGCCAGATGCCCTGATTGGATCATGGTTTCCTGATTATGTAAAAAGACGCTTAAAGGACACAAACATGATGTGTGTTTGTGACAGCCGCACTTCACACATGTTGCAGGTAACATTGCTTCCCATGACAGCTGTACACAGAGGGGCAGACGGGTCCTGTGCAGAATTACTTAGGGTGTGTTCACATGGCTCCCTTACAATTGCAGTGAAATTGTTTTTCCGGCATGTTTCACGGCTCCTTCCCTCCCTAGCTGTTCATGTCAGCGCAGCTTCATTCATTTCTGTTTGTATTCACACCAGTGGGCACTGGTAACATGGCTGGCATCCGTCTGTCTCGGGAGACAATGGAAGAGTGTTCCTTCATGGGTGGAGACAAACCATTGGCGAGTTACAGCACACTGCTGTGGCTGTACAGACTGATACAGGAAAGACATATTTTGTTGCAGCTGGAGCAAAGGAAGGCGTCCAGTTATTCCAATGCAGGTGTACCTTGGCGTTTCTTCTCTTCACCTTTTGCAAAGGTGTTCACATATGGCTCGAGACGAATTAGGAGCAGCTTAAGGACTCCGATTGGTGTGAAACCAGTTTGAGAAACAACGCATCAAAACAATAGGCTTTTGTAACAAAGCACAGGGCACATATGCATAACAGGGATTTAAAAACACAGCACTGGAAACACGGTGAGTGCGCAATGAACGAGGAACACAGCCTGTGATGTAAATCCAACTGTATTTAATTACGTGTACTTTTCTAAAATAATTTTTATATTGGCAAAGAAGCACAAAGGATAGGTTTCTAAAAATGGCATGACTGGAAGGATAATACTGAAGATGTATTGAGGTGTACAGGTACATCATCCTAAGCATACCTGATACATGATAGCCATACAATGGGAGGGGGGAACAACTTCTGATAAAAGATGGAGGGGTCATGCTAAGGAAATGCTCTTAAGAAGCATGGGATGAGCATAGCTCAGTCGGTACAGCATGAAACTCATAATCTCAGGGTTGTGGGTCTGGGCTCCATGGTGAGCAAAACGGGGGTTGGTCTAGATAACCCATCATGGTTCCTTCAAACTCTGCACTTCTAAGCTTCTGTGATTCTAAATATGTATAACCAATGAACAAGCAAATCAAGGTGAAGCCAGGATGAATCCCCATTGTCTTAGATCCCCCTGCCCAGCAAGCAAATCAGACCAAATGTTCAGTAAAGACCAGACATGGTCTAACCTCCAGCTAAGTTCCACGTGAACAAATCAGGACACATGCCCAATAAAAGTGTCACCTGGAGGAGCTTGAAGACTTCTTTGATAATGTCGTGATGCCCCATAAAATGTAAGTGAACAAAGCATAGCAATTCCACACAAAACAGGTCATAGGTGGAGGCAGCCCCAGGTGAGCTGAATCCATAGGATGTAGTGAGGCTTAGTAAACTTGCAAAGGCACATGAGAGCTAGTGCATAGGACTGCACTACACTTGTATTTCTTAACCAATTTCAAAAACCAATTCAAGCTCTTGTATTCATCAGTTCAAAAATAAAGTGTAGAAATGGGTGGGATAAAAAGAAGCACCATATTTTAACATAGTGACCAGCATCTTGCTTTACAGAGGGCAGTCCTATATTTGAAGGGCTGTCCAGTCTGGTTAAAAGATAAAGGACCCTCAGTTTAGACAACAGAGGCCATCAATAGTCAGCACCGACCTGGACTAAAACTGAGCAGGTGTACAGCACACCTGACCGCAGCGAAACTGCAGTGTGAAATGTATTGTATTTCTTGTTAAACCGCAGCCATGATTTCTAAATTCTATCTACATCAGCTAACGCAAATGTTGCACAAACCTGGGTCATCTTCTATCCTCCTTTTTTTGGAGATGCGTTTCCTTTACCTTTTTTGTTGGCTTTGCCTTACTGGGTCACCCTCTGCCTTTTGGCAGTCTGTGCGTGCCATAGGATCAGACTCCTAGAGACCAAGGTCCCCTCCAGTAAAATACTGGAAACCCCACCTCTCCACATTTTATTCACGTAGGCACTCCCGGTGCGTGCGGAGCGTGGGTGGGGGGCTCCCATTCACTCACGCCCATCCAAGCCGCAAGCCAGCATCCAGCCGCGGCTCTCCAATAAAGCGCGCCCCGACACAAAGCTCCCTCGTTTCGCTGCCGCCGAAAACCTTGGAGCGCCACTGGAACTCGCATTGGATCCGCGGGCATCTCCCACTGTCTGCGCTGGGCGGCGCTCGGCGCGGTGCGCGCACAGTTCCCGGCCCTCGTGCGCACGCAGCGCCGGCCCTTCCCCGGCCCATAGATGGAGGCGAAGGGGCGGAGACAGCTCCCGCCCGCCCGCCGCCCGGCGCGCTTTAAAGGCTCGGCGGCTGCGATCCGGAGCAGAGGCTGGAGCTGGGAGCCTGGCTCGCTGTCCTTCCTCGCCTCGCATCCAACTGCCCTCTGGAAAAGTCGCCTCGCCGCCGCCGCCGCTAACTGCGCCCCTCCGGATTCGCCTTCGCCTTCGCCTCGCCGGGCGCGGGAGGAAGGGGAGCCTATCCCCATGCGGCTGTCCGTCATGTCTCACAACTACCTTTTAGCTCCGATCCAGGAGTGCCCCTCCGACTACCTGGTCAAGGACGTGAAGCTGGCTGTGCTGGGAACGGGGAGCGTGGGGAAAAGCGGTAAGCGCCAAGGTCACCGCCGTGTTCGCGGAGGGGCTGCTGCAAAGCTGGATGGAGCCGAGGCGGGCGGGCGGGCGGGCGGGCGCGTGTTTTGAATGCAAAAGGTCCCGTTTGCCCAACCCTTGTAATGATAGAATTGTAGAGGTGGAAGGGACCCCAAGAGTCATCGAGTCGAACCCCCTGCAATGCAGGAATCTCAATTCCTGGTCAGTGTGGCCACTCTGGAGCTAGATGCAGCCTTGGTTTGATGTGCCTATAAGGCAGCTGCCAGATGCTGGTGGACTAACTCAGTCTCTCTCTCCCCACCCCACAACCCGATGCCCTACAGACTTCGTGAGCTACAGCCCCCTTCATCCCTGACCATTAGCTGTGCTGATGGGAGTTGCCCTACACAACATCTGCATTGGCTGCCCTTGTGCAGGCAATAGCAAGCGGCAGGGGCGTAGCTAGCTGCTCCGGCACCTGGAGCGGGGGGGGGGCAGGATGAGCCACCCAGGGGGGTGGTGTGGTGAGCTGCCCATGGAGTTTGCCTGGCGGGCGCAAGCCCCACGCTGCTGTTTTGGGCAGCGCGGGGCCCATCACTCCCAGGAGAGATGCATAGCTCGGGCATGCTGCTGGCCAGGCCCTGCGGTAAGTGCCACCCCCCGTGGTGTGCCATTTTGTCACCCCCTCAGGGATGACACCCGGGGCGGACCACACCCGCCCCCGGTTAAGCGGAAAGGATAATTTCCTGGCTTGTTGCAAGGCAGCCACCTCTGTTCCCAAAGCCATCCACGTTTCAGCCCTCTTGTCTCCCAGAATGAATGAATGAATGAATGAATGGCATCTGGGGGAATGCTCTCCTAAAGCCACGGAGGCATGTACGTGCAGATCTTCTGACACAAAGAAGCTGCGAACATATTCAGGGAAGAGAGTCGCTTTCGAAGCAGACTCTACACGCCTGTTGCTTTATAGGCGGGAGATGCCTGCGCTGGCAAGCAGGCGTCGTAGCTAAGGAGACCACACTCATTTTGCTGAATGCTTTGTGTGGCTGTGTTTGCTTGTAGCAGGACATCATCGCAGCCCCCACCTTTTTTTGCAAATGCTATTTTTATCAAAGGGATGTGTGTCGTTTGATGCGTCTTCCTTTGCCACCTGTCACCACTAGTAACCCAACAACTCTCGTTTCTTTCCAGCTATGATTGTACGGTACCTAACCAGGAGGTTCATTGGAGACTATGAACCCAACACAGGTAAGCTTCTCTCTTTCATAGAATCTCTCTGTGAATCTGGGTCTGGTGCTTGTGGGGACCATGCACATATAGCCTTGTTTTGCTCCTCTGGAATGGTTCTGTTCCAGGGAAGTCTGGGAAATGGATCTGTTTACGCTTCCCATAACACCATCCAGCCCTTCTCCTGTGCTTCTGTGCTTGCCCAACAGGGAGGAGGGGACAGGGAAGAAGCAGTGTCGTGGGTTGTTTTTAATATAATTTTGCAGACCCTAGGTCTAGCGTGGTTAGACCAAGACTAGAACTGGAGAGATCCAGGTTCTGATTTCAACTCTGCCATGAAGCTTCCTGGATGACCTTAGGCAAATCACTATTTGTCAGCCTAGCCTCCATCGCAGGGTTGTTGTGAGGATAAAATGGGGGAGGGGAATGAAGCACCTTGAGCTCATTGGAGGGCGAGAGATATAATAAATAAACACTCACAAATGAATAGAATCACACCTTTCCGCCAAAGAGCCCAGGAAACTGTATGTTAGTTTTTATCTTCGCAGCATCATAAAAAGGTAAATTAGGCTGTGAAAATGTGAATGGCTCTTGGTCACCCAGTGAGGTGCCTGGCTAAGCCTCCCCAATTCTCTGACCACACCGGTTCCTTTTATTTACACTACACCCCCATGGAGAAAGAATGTGTTTAACATCAGTTCCCCTGCTTCCTTATAATATACCTCCTACCTCTAAATAAAGTGCAACAGTTTTTAAATGAGCTTCCGTTTTTCTTTCTCCAGGCAATCTCTATTCAAGGCTCGTTCACGTTGAAGGTGACCAGATTTTCTTGCAAATCCAAGACACCCCAGGATGTATTGAGGTACGGGAACAATCCTAAATATGTCCATTCTGTCGGCCTTTTGAGGTTTGATTCATTCCATCAGTAGATGTGAATGTTGCTGAGAAAATTCCCATTGATAGGAGTAGGCTGCTATCTTTCACGTTCATTGATGCAATCTGCACATTAATGCAAATGATGTTCTGTGACTGAAGTCCAACGGTTAAAGGGTTGGAGGAAATAAATGGAAAAGATTTGCTGCATAGAATGTGGAATTGCTCGGCAATTGTCTGTGTCCACAATCAGCAAGTAACTTGTAGGCATTTCAGAAGACCCACTGTATTTTCAAGAGGGCTTAATTCAAGCCAGCATTTTTCAACAGTTGTAGAGAATCTCCTTTGCACGCAGAAGATCCCAGGTTCAATTCCTGGCATCTCCAGGTACTGCTGCCAGTCAGTGTAGACAGTACTAAGCTAGATTCACCAATAGTCTGACTGCATAAGGCAGCTTCCTATTACAGTGGTACCTTGGGTTAAGTACTTAATTCGTTCTGGAGGTCCGTACTTAACCTGAAACTGTTCTTAACCTGAAGCACCACACCACTTTAGCTAATGGGGCCTCCTGCTGCCGCTGCGCCACCGGAGCATGATTTCTGTTCTCATCCTGAAGCAAAGTTCTTAACCTGAAGCACTATTTCTGGGTTAGCGGAGTCTGTAACCTGAAGCGTATGTAACCCAAGGTACCACTGTATTGCAGTCTTAGAAATAATGCTCTCGTAGGCTGTTTAGAAAGTGGTGTGACTTTTGTTACTTTTTATGCAGAAACTAAAAGTTCTTCAAAGCTCTTTGTTTCTGCATTATACAGTAGAGTCGTACATCTTGCTGGTTGGGGGTCAAAAGCCACCACAGATGAAGACCTACACATTGCCTTTGGCAATCCCTTCTAGATTCAGATGCAAAAGCATCAATGGTCAGGCTGGTATCTGATGAGTCTCTAAAGCTGTTGCACACAGCCATTCCACATGTGAGAAGCACACATGGCACAGTTAACATGTGCCACTGTCATGCAACCTTTGTGAGCTTGTGAACTGGCTATTGGCTAAGACAGCCTCCCCCAACCTGGTGCCCTCCAGACACTTTAGACTACAATTCCCATCAGCCTCGACTGTTGACCACACTGGCTGAGGCTGATGGTATTTGTAGTCCAAAACATCTGGTGGACATCAAGTTGGGAACAGCTGTGCCAGCAACAGATTTCAAGCTGGATTTTCTCTTTCCAAAGCAACCAGCCTGTCTTGAAGCAAACCTCTTCTTAATTGGAAAGGCATTTGATATAGTTGCTGTTGAAAAGTTTCCCACTTGTATCTCATTTATTTAAATCTATGTCCTGTTTTTCTTTCCAGGTGCAAGAAGATGTTGCACAGATGTTGGATTCGCTCTCCAGGTGCCTGAAGTGGGCAGACGGTGTTGTCTTAGTCTATTCCATTACAGACTACCGTAGTTACCAGTCCATCCGTCCCCTTTATCAACACATCCGGAAGATCCGTCCAGACTCTAAAGTCCCTGTTGTCATCGTAGGCAACAAAGGCGACTTAGCTCACTCCAGACAGGTGGCAGCCAGCGATGGCCTGCAGCTGGCCAATGAACTGGGCAGTGTGTTTCTAGAAATCTCCACCAGCGATAGCTGCCAAGGTGTATGTGATGTATTTGAGTATCTTTGTAAAGAAGTGAGTAAGTTGCACAGCTGTGGCAGCGGAGACAAAAGGCGGTCGTCCCTCATTTCTCGACCCAAATCACCTAACATGCAAGATCTCAAGCGACGTTTCAAACAGGCTTTATCGTACAAAGTCAAGTGAGCACCAACCTTGACGTCAGCCCCCGCTGAACAGACTGTTTTATAAAACATACATTTATAAGAATAATTTATTTTTGTACTGATTATGTTTGTTCGTGCATTTGCAAGTATGCAGCTTCCTTGCATTACTTTTGTATTAATTGACTCTGCAACCCCACAACTGAGTGCTGAATTGCAACAGAATGAAACTGAAAGAGACAGTGCCAATATGCCTATCCCTCTGTTTGATAGTGACCTGCTCTTTAGACTTAGGGCAAGCAAAGTTGAAAGTATTTGGATTTCACGTTTATCAGACTTTGTTAGTCTGAACTTGGCTTAAATGAGAGTATTTCCATTTTACCGGATGGTGGCTAGGGTTGCTCATCTCTCTTTGAGCCTATTCAAATACAGATTTAAATCCCCCTCTTAAAAAAAGAAAAAAGAACTTACAGACTGGTGTTTCATTCTGTATGTAAACACGGGGAAAGAATTACAGCTGATTTTGTAAAATGCTGCAAGCAACTGAATTATACAATTGCAAAATAAAACTATTTAAATAAAATAATTAAATATCACTTTTTTATGTGTGGACCGCTCCCCTTCATTTTCCAGAAACCCTTGTTATATTGGCATATTGAAATCAGGCCAGATATAGGCCAAGCTCCATAGAACTACGTAACAAATTCCACTAGCCAAATGAAGGTACTTTAAATTCTTGAATAGCAGTCTCTAATACCGTCTAGGTATTAAAATCTAGGGGAGCGGGTGGTGCTGTGGTCTAAACCACTGAGCCTCTTGGGCTTGCTGATCAGAAGGTCAGTGGTTCGAATCTGTGAGCTCCCGTTGCTCTGTCCCAGCTCCTGTCAACCTCACAGTTTGAAAACACACCAGTGCAAGTAGATAAATAGGTACCACTGTAGTGGGAAGGTAAACGGTGTTTCTATGCGCTCTGGTTTCTGCCATGGTGTATGTTGCACCAGAAGCGGTTTAGTCATGCTAACCACATGACCCGGAAAGCTGTCTGTGGACAAACGCCAGCTCTCTCAGCTTGAAAGCAAAATGAGCGCCACAACCCCATAGTCGCCTTTGACTGGACTTAACTGTCCAGGGGTCCTTTACCTTTACCTTACCTAATACTGTGTGGTAAACTGCTTCTGAAAAGTCCTTTCAACACTGGTTCACAAGATGACTGAAAGCGCCTGCTGTTCAAAGGGGAACACATGGCAGAAATCCATCTGGGCATGCCAAAAGCAACTTTCTAGATGCCAGGCTTAAGCTACTATCCCTAGGCATACCTGCTTGAGACTAAGCCCAGGGGGACTTCATAGTAAGCATGCACAATGAGTCACTGACCTATGATGCACATTGTAAGTAGGTAACTCATCTCTTTGGCCTTCAGAGTTTGCTGCTCAGTCTTGACTGCATTTTGTATACCTGATTCATACTATTGCTAATACTGGAGTATTCTTACAGTAATTGAGATTTACCCGATTTCTATTTGTGGATTGTGCAAAATCACTGCAATTCGTCAACAACATCTTGTTCGGTATATTTCTAATGATACCATCTTCCGTGGAATTATCCATCCTTTATAACATAGGCCCTAACTATATTGAGACTGCAGACTCTAGAAGCATTTGGGATTGTAAATCCCATCAAACTCATAGAAATTCTGAGGAGTCATCCAAAGGATTTGCATCATAAGTCATGTTAATATTCCTACTTTGATTTCACAGCAGTACACGTGGCTTCATGGAAGATGCTGCATCAAGTCCCTTGCTGGGAGCTTTTGAACAGAGCTTTAGAGAAAAGCTTGGAAATAAATGTAATATGTAAACAGTGAATATCATAATACAGTAGCCTCATTAGGTGTAAGCAGTGTAATCTCTCTCAGCCTAGCTTTTTGTTCTGATTCCAATAGGATTAACTCTCTTAAATGCGAGCCCAATGGTCTAACAGAGTAGCCTTTTATTTTGAAACAAGAATTCAGTGCCCTAGCTTATCTCCAGCCCATTATATTTTCAACATAAAAGAATAATGATGGTTGGCTTGCCATTATCAGATTTCCCCCTGCCTTTTAATAGCTGTGTGGAAGTCAAATCAAGAGAGAAGCCAGAGGTGGATTTAGGGCAGTGTGGCTGGTTCCGCAGCAATACAGGGTTGCAGATGCTTTGGGACTACAACTCCCATTATCCCTGACCATTATTGACCACCCTGGCCAGGTCTTACGTGTGGGAAGGGTTTTAATGGATAGGAGAGGGCATATTGATGGCAATTTACCCCTCCTGGCGCCGCATGTCTGGGTTAAACAGAGTTTCAAAATCCCATCAATAGCTGCAAAATTCAAAGCATAGGAATTAGGCCGTAAAACTTTGTTTTGAGCAAGTCCAGTGATGAAGTAAGCCAGCTTTCCCTTTCTTACCCTGCTTAACAAAGAACCAGGCAACAACTTGTAAAGTAAGTTCAAAAATAAGATTTACTTACTTTATAATCATGCATTGGTTCACTGCAATGGTAACAGTAAGGACTATGTGGGCAAAATGCTTATATTTACAGTACAACCAGCTTCAGGCATGTGCCTGAAGAGAGAGAGAGGAACAGGAAGTACTGTATGCTCCACATCCATGAGAGGAGGGGAAATGACATCACACAGAGCCCTCTCTACCAATTGTATTTCTATGGTCTGAGTAGTGGCCTGTCTTCAGTACAACTCTGCGGACTTAGCCCCTTCTCATTCTAACTAGCAAGAATATGCATTCGTTAGGTTTGCCTCCTAATCTCCCACATTATGGGAGTTGGAGTCCCTATCCCTGCTAGTGAAAAGGGCTATAGCTCAGTAGTAGAGCAGCTGCTGCCCATGCAGAAAGTTCCAGGTTCAATCCTTGCCTTTTCTGGGTAGGGCTGGGAGACAGACCCCTGTCTAAAATCTTCTGCCAATTACTGAATTAGATGGACCAATAGTCCTACTTGTTAGGATCATCCTACTTGTGTGTAGGACCCTGGCAGAGACACATGCCCAACTGGCATGTTCTCTCCCTCCTGGTCATTCATTCGGGAGCTTCCAAGGCTTTCTCCAGCCCGAGCATTACAGCGACTGATTACAAGAGGCATCAGCACACTTAAGATCCTGCAGAGTATTTGCAGTTTGTGTAACAGAACTCAGTAGCACAGCATTTTGGCTAATTTACTTTTATTTACATATAATACACTCGGGAGCATTCTGACTTAGCTCCTTCCTCTTTCTCATCAGACAGCAAAGAGAGAAAGAACAAAGGACAACAGCCCCACATCAGAGAACACAGTAACACCAAAATGAAATGAAATGAAATGAAAACATACACTGTCATATGATAAACAGCAATCTCATGACTGCAAACAAGAATCCTAACACTAATTCAGTATACGGCAGCTTCCTATGTCCCCATGAAAGCTTTGAAGGGAGAGGAAAATGGCCAGCAGGGAGAATATTGCACTCCTCCATTCAACATTGCAGCCTCCTAAGCTTATTTTCCCTAAAGGGAAAAACAAACAAACCCCTGTCTGAGCAGTTACACAGATTTGCATGTAAAGTGTCTTCTGTCCTTTCTAACCTTTTCTACTTTAAAATCCATAAAGTATTTAGAAGCAATCTGAGAAGTATAAACATAGGGGTGGGATGCAATTGCAGCTGTAATCATGGGTTATGCTGCATGAAGAGAAAGGAAGGGTTTCTCCTCCTCCCACGAGTTGCTGAAATTGCATTTATTATGGTGGCGTGAAAGACAGACATGTTATTCTCCCTTTGGAAGGGAAGTTAATGGGATGTCTGCCTTACACTCAAGCAACCCCATTGCCCTGGTTTAACACACTCAACCGCACTTTCTGTATGGTTCATTCCAATTTAGAAATGAACTCTGTATTCAGGAGAGATGGGTGTGTGATTGCTTTGGGAAGCATAAGCAAAGTGGCAGATGGGAAAGCTGGAAATGGTTAGAGAGAGAGGATATTCTTTCTGCAGCATGTGTGGGTATTTCTTTCGTCCTGGTCTTGCCTCTGGTCAGATGCCATTTGTGAGTAGTCATGATGGTATAGGAACCTCCAATCCACAGTCATACCTCATTTTACGTCCGCTTCATGTTACGTTCTTTCAGGTTACGTCCCGCGGCGACACGGAAGTACTGGAAAGGGTTAATTCCGGGTTTCGCTGCTCACGCCTGCGCAGAATGTTAGGATAGATTTTATTGCTTTATTCTTGGCGTCCGGCACGCTCCCCTGCACTCCTCTGCAGGTCGTAAAGCAATTAGCAGAATTGCACAGCGTCCGTGTATGAAAGGGCAGTAAAGGAGTCCCACACGTTTCTTCTTTCCTAGTAGCACTTTATTTGCTCAAAAGTAGCATATTTACAATCAGGAAACACCATCTGAATCAAGTTGCATTTTGCGTCCTTCTCTCTCAGCTTGGCAGCTGCGTAACTGTGCAAAATGACATCACGCGCATGCGCAGAAGCAGTGAGTCGCAACCTGCGTGTGCGCAGATGCGCCACTGCGGATTGCGCTCTTTTCATGTTGCGAACGGACCTCTGGAACGGATCCCATTCGCAACCAGAGGTACCACTGTATCTGCTCACTAGAGACAAAATGTGTGGGAAATGTTCACTCTACAAGAAAGACCCATTCCTTCAAACCACCTTCAGTTCTCTGAAATTATGGCCACATCCACACCATGGACTTAAAAGCAATCTTATACCGCTTTGCCAGTGACTTCCCCTGAAAGAATACTAGGAACTGTAGTTTGTTAAGGGTGCTGAGACTTGCTAAAAGACTGCACGGAGCTATGTTTCCCAGTGCCTGTAACAAATTACAGTCCTCAGCAGGGGTGCCAACTTGAATAAAATTTTGGGGAGGGGGCAGATAAGCCCCACCCTGCATAATCAATCACATGACACAGTGCATGCAAAGCATTTGTTTTCTCATGAAAATTGAGATCATGCCTGCCTCTGGTTACAATTGAGGAACACCCCCCCCCAAAAGAAATCCAGGAGGAGGTTGAAATTTCAGTCTGGCATGCCAACCACATTAGGATGCTGGCCAATCAGTGCTGGTTATAGAATCGTATAATTGTACAGCTGGAAGGAACCCTGAGGATCATCTAGTCCAACCCCCGGCAATACAGGAATATCCCCGTATGGGGATCGAACCTGCAAGCTAGTCATTATCAGCACCATTCTCTAACCACCTAAGCTATCCAGCTGAATGGTCATGTCAGCATCATCAGGCACCCATCCAGGCCTACATTTTAGCAGGGGCCTACTGCTGACCACCCTCCAGAACCCCTTGGCTTTCTTCGTCTTTGCCGCTATTGCTGCCCATTGTCTTCAAGCATGCAAGCAGTGACAGGAGCAAGGAGGAACATCTGGTTGCCTTTCCATCGTTCCTGGGTGATGGTGCTGATTGGGCCCAGGAGGAAATGGCATGTGAATGGGCTATGGTGAAAAGCAACAAGGAGGTGGGTCCTCTCAAGGAAGGAGTTCTGAAGAGCACA